AAAAAAATCACACCAATATTCCACTCTTGATATTAGAATTTTCAAGAGCTGAATCATAGTTCTAAACGGCACCAAATTGGCACTGTTTGCCCTGCAAAACACCGAACCCCACACCAAAGGGGTTCGTATTCTTGAAAAACTGACCCCCTCCCCCTTCAAATAATCCTAGATCCGCCCCTGTATGTAGCAGTTGTAAGGTGGGTTATCAGTGTAGGCATGTTAAGATATTTTAGATTTCAAAAACCGAGCACCCCGCCCCCCTCGCCTCGGTCCCAGCCTGGTGTTTTCAAACTGAACAAATTCTCCTTCTACTCCTTCCAATATATTATAACAGCCCTCCACCGCCATCCACCTATACAAACGGGTGCACGCACGCAGACACATTTATAAAAGAACCCTAAGCATATGCAAATCAATTACGTAAGATATAAAATACATGCCGTAGTATGGGAGACACGTATTGAAAAACCGGTTCACTGAAAAAAAGTTATCTATGCAAGTTTGTAGGACAACAGAGGCGAGATCTTATAATATTAAATAGGGCGTTTGAGGTAAGAAGCCAGGTTAGGCAGCGCCATTTTCCGTAGCTTTCAGTTGCTTTGATAGTTCATAGTTCACTCAATCAACGTGTTCCAACTAGTAAGGACGGTTACCTGAGTTTTTTTCTTAAGTGACAGCAAAAATATATAACAGGTATATAACACCAAGGTTTGTGACCATAGTGAGTGTTGACTATGTCACTACTGAGCGATATTACTATCTTCTGCTACTACTGCTGCTACTGCGCCATTGTTCTTCTCGACTGGTTACTTCGTGTTGTCCTTGGGCGTCGCTTTACGCCGCTCACAGAGGCCAGCCTGCTCCGAGATCTGTCTCTAAACGACCGGCGTCTGCTGTTGTCGGACAGTCTTACTGGGCGCTGGTGGTACCAGGGGTTCACACAACTGTTGAAATGTTACCGTGAAGATGACACCTCCTCGGTGGCTGGGAGGCTGTGGATAGAAAAGAGATGGAAAGGGATAATAAAGAACAGGCTTGCTATATCAAGACGACTACCGACTGTGGATTTGACCAAGGTAAGTGTATAAGGTATGTTCAGGAAGCTTCCACTCCTTCCATTATATGAAGCTTTAAAATTGACCCAGAACTTAGTCAGCCCGATGCTGCATAAAGGTTTTTCGTTACTCATTTGTTTTTTTGCACAGACGCAAATGTGTCTGTACATGTACATATAGCTGTCACCTGCGTCTGTCGTCGCCGTCGCCATGCACTTTTACTGATAACACGATAAGTGGAAAATCGTTTTTTCTTTCGGCTTGAAAATTACAGAACTGATGAATATTCATAATATGCAGGTCAAGTTCGATAGTCAGCATGATCGGGCCATTTGTATGAGTTATGCTGTTTTTTCACTTCTTTCAGCATATAAGCAACACCCAAAACACAATAAGTGAAAAACAGTGTCTTCTTATTCCCTAACTTTTTTCTGCTTTTTGTCTGTACATTTGACAGCTTTGCTGCCTTGTTTATGTAAACCATGCACTTTATGCTCTAGTTGCTTATTGAAATGCAAACTTTTTCTGTCAGTTAAACAGCTATTTATAGCAACTCAACCGCTTAAGAGTTCAACATGTACATTGCCGTTTTTAAGTACCCTATCAAGGAGCCTATTTTCTTCATTGGGCCAATGCGGACGGGGACAACGTTTCTTCAGAATTTGCTGTACCAGGACCCACGGAACACTTCACCACTCTTCTACGAGTTGATGTGCCCCGTGGAGGAGAACACAGACGCTGTGAACGCTGGGAAAGATCTGCATGTTCTCATGTTCAGTTCCTTACTAGGTATTTAATTGATGTATATATTTTTGTAAGTAGAAACTACAACAACCCAACAGTTGTTTCGGTATTTCAAACCTTTGAGGATTGTTCTTTTATGAGCGTTCAGTGGACACTACAGACCGTAATAAGGAGTGAGTCATTTGCTGACTTTGCCGAGGCAATGGATTCATGGGATTACCAGATTTATGTTTTTGAGAACCATCTCTCAGGCTCTCACACACACACACTCACGCGCACGCATGTGCTTGCGCGCACACACACACACACAGACACGCAGAGAGAGAGAGAGTTAAAAAGAGAGAGAGAGGGAGTAGAGGGGAAAGAAAGAGAGTTCTCAAATTATTTTGTCAAAAATATACGTATATTTCAGATGCCGTGTACCGAGTTAAGCGACTGCGTAAAAACATTCATAACATCCAGGCCAAGAGTCCTCACGAGTGTTTCCATTTGTTCGACAATATGGGAATATTTAAGTTTTACCAAGGGGTGATCGGTAACACTGGTCCATACAGAGACTGGGTGCGCGCTCGAACCAAGGAAGAGATGGTGGAGGCCTATCGTTTTCATCGATCGCAACTTCAGCTCATTCTTTTAGCAAGAAGTAGGTGTAGGAATGTGGTCGTTATAGACATGATTAAAGGATTCACCTTTTCCGCCCTCCATTTCAAAATTTATGGTCAGAACATAATAGAATTAAACATCTTAAAAAGTTTCCATTTCCTTTGGTTGTATTTGAGCGCATTCAGAACACCTGACTAACAGATCCGCGGATCAAATATGGCGACCCACTAAAAAACTTAATTCCCGATTAGACACTGAATAGATTCCCCGTGAAGATTACTTGACAAACATTCAAGTGGGTAGCCACAATTGATCCAAGGATCTGTTAGTCCGCTGTTCTGAATGCAACCTTTGTCGTATTATTATAAATAACTTTTGTACGTAGTTATATTTATATATTTAATATAGTTATGATTTTTTAGCAAAATCTTACTGAAAACGAATTTCAACATCAACATCTTTTATTAGACTCAGCAAGCAACAAGCACGTCATTCTGAAAGATTCCATGCACGGGGTGTACCTGGACGCAATCCTGGCGATGTATCCGGACGCAATGTTCATTCACACCTACCGCAATCCATGCAAATCGATCGCCTCCTTTTGCTCATTGGTGCAGCACTTTACTCCTTGTGCCTACGATCTCAAAGATATAGGTAGGGGTGTGTCCTTGAGCCTCATCTTAACTTTTGAAATATACTATCTTCTGAAATATACTAACCTTTGAAATAATAATATGATGAGATTTTTTTTCTGACCTGTATAATTATAAAATCGTTTTAGTTTTTGTTGTTTGTTTGTTTCATGATCCTGTCAATGTTCGGTTGAGTTTGGTTAAGTTTGGCTAAGTTGTATTGTCAATGATTTCTGATTGCGTTTTAGTTGTCTGTGTTCATATTTTAGGAAGAGACGTCCTAGACAACCCCCTGTTTCATGCTGGGAACGAAATCCTAGAATTCAGAAAGAACCACCCTGATCAAGAAAACAGATTCGTCGATATTGACTACGAACATCTAGTTAGATCGCCCATGGATTCAGTGCGACAGATTTATGATAAGTTTGGGCTCCATCTCAGCGAGCAAGCTAAAGCGCAGATGAAGGAGTACATAAAAGAAAATCCCCAAAATAAGTATGGTCGTCACCATTACGACTTGGAGCCCTACGGGTGTAAGGAGGATGAAATATTTGAGAAATTTCGAGATTATATTGAATATTTTAACATTCAGTGCTAACTTCATAACATGTAAATATATAACTTACTGAAATGCCTTAATTAAAAATATTTAGGACACCGAAAAAAAAACTGCGAAAAGCAACGAACTATAAATAGGATTGGACATAGTAGCTCACAATGGCGAGATCATGCGTTGGCACTAGATAAAGTTGACGCATGCTTATGCGGCTTGCCGAGAGGTAAAATTTAAATCACGAGGAAACATTTTTGTTTCTTATATCATGTTGACTGAATGTAACAAGATTCAAATTACGCTTGCTTGAGTTTCAACCTTCTCGAAAAGCTGTCGGACTTGGGTCACTAGTATAGCGTTAATTTGGAACACTGTTAAATACGTAAAAAATGGACAAATAAAGCGAATATGTGAGGCTCGAAACTTGCGTTAGACGTGAAGACTGGGTGCCCATACCTAGACCAATCTTGTTGTCAAAGCTAAAAGCTTTTAAAAGGCATATTACGGTTGAACAATTGATTAAAAGACTAAATTGTCAGGGGAGTCCTGACCCCCCCCCCCTTTTCGGTTTCTGGAAAAAAAATCACACCAGTAGTTCACAATGGGGAGATAATACGTTGGCATTAGATCAAGTCATTAGATCAAGTCATGGAATAAGGTGCCTATACGACCTACAATAGGCATACCTGACCCAGTATGTACCTATACCAGCTATATAAAGATGTTTAGTAAAAATTCTAATATTACCAGAATTATTGTGAAAGATAAAATCTTTTAAAAAGACATATTGCGGTTGAAAAATTGATTAAAATACTAAATTGTCAGGGGAGTTCTAACCCCCCCCCCCCCCCCCCCCACACACACACAAATCGGTTTCTGGAAAAAAATCACACCTATATTCCACTCTTGATATTAGAATTTTCAAGAGCTGAATCATAGTTCTAAACGGCACCAAATGGCACTGTTTGCCCTGCAAAACACCAAACCCCACACCAAAGGGGCAAGGGTCGGATTCGCATCCGAGCCCTTTCATTCTTAAAAAACTGAAAAACTGCCCCTTCCCCCCTGTTCAAATAATCCTGGATCCGCCCCTGTATATGGCAGTTGTAAGGTGTGTTATCAGTGTAGGAATGTCAAGATACTACTACTTCCACTATATTTTAACAACCCTCCCCCTCCATCCACCTATACAAACGGGTGCACGCACGCAGACACATTTATAAAAGATCCCTAAGCATATGCAAATCAATTACGTAAGATATAAAATACATGCCGTAGTATGGGAGACACGTATTGAAAAACCGGTTCACTGAAAAAACAGTAGTCTATACAAGTTTGTAGGACAACAGAGGCGAGAGCTTATAATATTAAATAGGGCGTTTGAGGTAAGAAGCCAGGTGACACAGCGCTATTTTCCGTTCCTTTCAGTTGCTTTGATAGTACATAGTTCACTCAGTCGACGTGTTCCAACTAGTAAGGGCGGTTACCTGAGTTTTTTTCTTCAGTGACAGCAAAAATATATAACAAGTATATGACACCCAGGTTTGTGACCATAGTGAGTGTTGACTATGTCACTACTGAGCGATATTTCTATCTTCTGCTACAACTGCTGCTACTGCGCCATTGTTCTTCTCGACTGGTTACTTCGTGTCGCACTTGGGCGTCGCTTTACGCCGCTCACAGAAGACAGCCTGCTCCGTGATCTGTCTCTTAACGACCGACGTCTGCTGTTCTCTGACAGTCTTACTGGGCGCTGGTGGTACCAGGGGTTCACTCAACTGTTGAAATGTTACCGTGAAGATGCCACCTGCTGGGTGGACGGGAGGATGGGAATAGAAAGGAGATTGAAAGAAATATTAAATAACAGACTTGCTATATCAAGACGACTACCGAATGTGGATTTGACCAAGGTAAGTGTATAGAGTCTGATGCTGCCACTCGTACCATTATACGAAGTTTCAAAATTGACCCAAAACTTAGCACGATGCTGCATAAAAGTTTTTCATGACTCATTGTTTTTTATGTAAACCATGCACATTATACTCGTGTCGCTTATTGAAATGCAATAAATTCTGTCACTTAAACAGTAAAAGGAATATTGACAAGACACAAGCACAATAACTTAAATCCGCAATTAATAGCAATTCAACCGCTTAAGAGGTCAACATGTACTTTGCCGTTTTAAGTGCCCTAACAAGGAGCCTATTTTCATCATTGGGCCAATGCGGACGGGGACAACGTACCTGCAGAACTTGCTGTACCAGGACCCGCGGAACACTTCGCCACTCTTCTACGAGTTGATGTGCCCCGTGGAGGAGAACACAGACGCTGTGAATGCTGCGGAAGACCCGCGTGTTCTGATGTCCAGTTTCTTTCTAGGTAATATAATTGATGTATTTATTTTATGGGCGTTCAGTGGACCGTATGGACCGTAATAACCTTTGAGTCATTTGCTGACTTTGCCGAGGCAATAAATTCATGGGATTACCAGTTTTATGTTTTTGAGAACCATCTCTCAGGCTCTCTCTCTCTCACTCTCTCTCTCTCTCTCTCTCACACACACACACACACACACACACAGGCGCAGAGTAAGAAAGAGAGAGTAAAGAGAGAGAGTTCTCAAATTATTTTTATATACATACTGTATTATATTATATACATATTTCAGATGTCGCATTACGAGGTAAACGAATGTTTAAAAACATTCACAACGTCCAGGCCAAGAGTCCTCACGAGTGTTTCCATTTGTTCAACAATATGGGGATATTTAAGTTTTACCAAGGGGTGATCGGTAACACTGGGCCATATAGAGACTGGGTGCGCGCTCGAACCAAGGAAGAGATGGTGGAAGCCTATCGTTTCCATCGATTGCAACTTCAGCTTATTCTTTTAGCAAGAAGTAGGTGTAGGAATGTGGTCGTTATAGACATAATAAAAGGATTCACCTTTTTCGCCTATCCATTCAAAATTTAAGATCAGAACTTAATCATCTCAAAATGTTATCTTTCCTTTGGTTGTTTTTGATGGCATTCAGAACAGCGAACTAACAGATCCGCGGATCAAATATGGCGACCCACTAAAAAGCCTCCCGCTTGATTCCTGATTAGACACTGAATAGATTCTAAAAAGCTTCCCGCTTGATTCCTGATAAGACACTGAATAGATTCTAAAAAGCTTGCCGCTTGATTCCTGGTTAGACACTGAATAGATTCCCCGTGGGATTTCTCAACAAACATTTAAATGGGTCGGCCATAATTGGTCCGCGGATCTGTTAGTTTTCTGTTCTGATTGTGCTCTTCGTCGCTTTATTATAAAGAAATTTTATGCATATTTATATTTATATTACTTTATATTTATATATTTATTTATTATTTCTTTTGATTTTTAGGAAAATCGCATTGAAAACGAATTTTAACATCATCATCTTTTATCAGATTCAGCAAGCAGTGACCAGCACGTCATTCTGAAAGATTCCATGCACGGGGTGTACCTGGACGCAATCCTGGCGGTGTATCCGGACGCAATGTTCATTCACACCTACCGCAATCCATGCAAATCGCTCGCATCCGTTTGCTCGTTGTTTCAGCACCACACCACTTGTGCCTACGACCCCAAAGATATAGGTAGGGGTGTGTCCTTAAACCTCTTCTTAACTTTTTGAAATATACTAACCTTTGAAATAATAATCAGATGAGATTTTTTTTGCAAGTTGTAAAATTTTTGTTTATTTGTTTCATGATCGTATCCGTAAATAACGTTTGGTTAAGTTGTATTGTTAATGATTTCTGATTGTGTTTTAGTTGTCCGTGTTCAAATTTTAGGAAGAGACGTCCTAGACGACCCCCTGTTACACGCGGGGAACGAAATCCTAGAATTCAGAAAGAACCACCCTCATCAAGAACACAGATTCTTAGATATAGACTACGAATATCTTGTGAGAGCGCCCTTAGATACGGTGAGACAGATTTATGATAAGTTTGGGCTCAATCTCAGCGAGCAAGCTGAAGCGAAGATGAAGGAGTATATAAAAGAAAATCCCCAAAATAAGTATGGCCGTCACCATTACGACTTGGAGCTGTACGGGTTGAAGGAGGATGAAATATTTGAGAAATTTCGAGATTATATTGAATATTTTAACTTTCAGTGCTAATTTCATAACATGTAAATATATAACTTACTGAAATGCCTTAATTAGAAATATTTAGAACAATAACACCGTAAAAACTGCAAAAGCATCAAACTATTAATAGGATTGCACATAGCAGCTCACAATGGCGAGATAAGGCGTTGGCACTAGATAAAGTTGACGCATGCTTACACGGCTTGCCGAGAGGTAAAATTAAAATCATAAGGAAACATTTTCGTTTTTTTTTTCATTTTGACTGAATGTAACAAGATTCAAATTACGCTTGCTTGAGCTTCAACCTTTTCGAAAAGCTGTCGGACTTGGGTCACTAGTATAGCGTAAATTTGGAACACTGTTAAATACGTAAAAAAAATGGACAAATAAAGCAAATATGTGAGGCTCGAAACTTGCGTTAGACGTGAGGACTGGGTGCCCATACCTAGACCAATCTTGTTGTCAAAGCTAAAAGCTTTTAAAAGGCATGACCCCCTCCCCCCCCCCCTTTTCGGTTTCTGGAAAAAAATCACACCAATATTCCACTCTTGATATTAGAATTTTCAAGAGCTGAATCATAGTTCTAAACGGCACCAAATTGGCACTGTTTGCCCTGCAAAACACCGAACCCCACACCAAAGGGGTCGTATTCTTGAAAAACTGACCCCCTCCCCCTTCAAATAATCCTAGATCCGCTCCTGTATATAGCAGTTGTAAGGTGTGTTATCAGTGTAGGCATGTTAAGATATTTTAGATTTCAAAAACCGAGCACCCCGCCCCCCTCGCCTCGGTCCCAGCCTGGTGTTTTCAAACTGAACAAATTCTCCTTCTACTCCTTCCAATATATTATAACAGCCCTCCACCGCCATCCACCTATACAAACGGGTGTACGCACGCAGACACAGTTATAAAAGAACCCTAAGCATATGCAAATCAATTACGTAAGATATAAAATACATGCCGTAGTATGGGAGACACGTATTGAAAAACCGGTTCACTGAAAAAAAGTTATCTATGCAAGTTTGTAGGACAACAGAGGCGAGATCTTATAATATTAAATAGGGCGTTTGAGGTAAGAAGCCAGGTTAGGCAGCGCCATTTTCCGTAGCTTTCAGTTGCTTTGATAATTCATAGTTCACTCAATCAACGTGTTCCAACTAGTAAGGGCGGTTACCTGAGTTTTTTTCTTCAGTGACAGCAAAAATATATAACAGGTATATAACACCCAGGTTTGTGACCATAGTGAGTATTGACTATGTCACTACTGAGCGATATTACTATCTTCTGCTACTACTACTGCTACTGCGCCATCGTTCTTCTCGACTGGTTACTTCGTGTCGTCCTTGGGCGTCGCTTTACGCCGCTCACAGAGGCCAGCCTGCTCCGACATCTGTCTCTTAACGACCGGCGTCTGCTGTTGTCGGACAGTCTTACTGGGCGCTGGTGGTACCAGGGGTTCACTCAACTGTTGAAATGTTACCGTGAAGATGACACCTGCTCGGTGGCTGGGAGGCTGTGGATAGAAAAGAGATGGAAAGGGATAATAAAGAACAGGCTTGCTATATCAAAACGACTACCTACTGTGGATTTGACCAAGGTGAGTATAAGGAGTCTGTTTATGAAGCTACCACTCCTACCACTATACGAAACTTTAAAATTGACCCAGAACTTAGTCTGCACGATGCTACATAAAGGTGTTTCATGACTCATTGTTTTGTATGCAAACCATGCACTTCATACTCATGTCGCTCATTGAAATGCAATATTTTTCTGTCATTTAAACAGTAAATGCGATTTTGACAAGACACAATCACAATAAATAAAATCTGCAATTAATAGCAATTCAACCGCTTAAGATTTCAACATATACATTGCCGTTTTTAAGTGCCCTATCAAGGAGCCTATTTTCATCATTGGGCCAGCGCGGACGGGGACAACCTTTCTGCAGAGCTTGCTGTACCAGGACCCGCGGAACACTTCGCCACTCTTCTACGAGTTGATGTGCCCCGTGGAGGAGAACACAGACGCTGTGAACGCTGGGAAAGATCCGCGTGTTCTCATGTCCAGTTTTTTTCTAGGTATGTGATTGATGTATTTATTTTTGTAAGTAGAAACTTCATAAAACTACAAAAATTGTTTTTGGTATTTCAAATCTGAGGATTGTCGTTTTAAGTGTCTTCAGTGGACCGTTATAACGTGTGAATCATTTGCTGACTTAGCCGAGGCAATTGATCACCAGTTGTGTGTTTTTGTGAACCATCCCTTAGACTCTTTGTCTTTTTCACACTCGTACGGCCGAGCAGGCACACACACGCACTCACACACACACATTCACACACACACACACACACACACACAAAATCGCAGAGAGAGGGAGAGAGAAAGATAGAGGGGAGGGAAGAAAGAGTTGTCAAATTATTTATTTCTTTAAAATTCAGATGCCGCATACAGTCGTAATCTACTGTTTAAAAACATCCACTACGTCCAGTCCAAGAGTCCTCACGAGTGTTTCCCTCTGTTCGACAATATGGGGATATTTAAGTCGCATCAAAGGATGATCGGTAACAGTGGTCCATACAGAGACTGGGTGCTCGCTCGAACCAAGGAAGAGATGGTGGAAGCCTATCGTTTCCATCGTTTGCAACTTCAGCTTATTCTTTTAGCAAGAAGTAAGTGTAGGAATGTGGTCGTTATAGACAAAAATAAATAAATAACTGATTGACTTTTTTCGCCCTTCCTTTTGAAAATGTATGGTCAGAACATGATAGAATTTAATGATCTCAAATTTTAAAATTTTTCCTTGGTTGTTTTTGTTGTATTTTTTATAAAGAAATTTTATGCATATTTATATCTATATAAATGTTCATATATTTAAAGGTTTTTATTTTTTTTAGCAAAATCGTATTGAAAACGTATTTCAACACCATCATCTTTTATTAGATTCAGCAAGCCATGACCAGCACGTCATTCTGAAAGATTCTATGCATGGGCTGTATCTGGACGCAATCCTGGCGGTGTATCCAGACGCAATGTTCATTCACACCTACCGCAATCCATGCAAATCGCTTGCCTCCGTGTGCTCAGTGGTGCAGCATCACATCTTTTGTGCCTACGACCTCAAAGATATAGGTAGGGGCGTGTCTTTAAGCCTCTTTTTTACTTCTGAAATATACTTACATTTAATATATACTAACATTTAAAATAATAATTTGATGAGATTTTTTTCTGACCTGTAAAATTTTAAAATCGTTTTAGTTTTTGTTGTTTGTTGGTTTCATGATCCTGTCAATGTACATAACGTTTGGTTAAGTTGCATTGTTAATGATTTATGATTGCGTTTTAGTTGTCTGTGTTCATATTTTAGGAAGAGACGTCCTAGACGACCCCCTGTTTCACGCGGGGAACGAAATCCTAGAATTCAGAAAGAACCACCCTGATCAAGAACACAGATTCGTCGATATAGACTACGAACATCTTGTGAGAGCGCCCTTAGATACGGTGAGACAGATTTATGATAAGTTTGGGATCGATCTCAGCGAGCAAGCTGAAGCGAAGATGAAGGAGTATATAAAAGAAAATCCCCAAAATAAATATGGCCGTCACCATTACGACTTGGAGACGTACGGGTTGAAGGAGGAGGAAATATTTGAGAAATTTCGAGATTATATTGAATATTTTAACATTCAGTGCTAACTCCATAATAGAATAATATAAACTACTGGATTGCCCTAATTAGAAACATTTAGAAAAATAGCACTGAAAAAACTGCGAAAAGCAAAGAACTATAAGATTGCACATAGTAGTTCACAATGGCGAGATAATGCGTTGGTATTGGGACGAACATTTACTTGTAGGGTGCCTACTCTCTGAGACCGCAGATTTGGATCCCCATTTCTTTTGCTTTATTCAATCGATAATATAGTGACAACCGGGCGTGGCTGATTATTGTAGGTCCTTAAAAAACAGCAGTTATTCATTATACCCCTATATAAAGTCTTCTGCTAGGGGAATTCAAGTACTAATCGAATTTAAAAGGACCACCTGTTGTACGCGAAGTACTAGATTTTGCAGCGTTTGGGTCCACTAAAACTTCCTTCCGTCATGGACCTAATTAGGTCCATGCTTCCGTTAAACTTCCAGGTCGATATCGTCACTTTAACATTTCTTATGGGAACTTCTTTTATTATACATTAATTGACTCAGCAAAGGACACGTTTTAACCTCAAAAGTGAAGGGTGTCACCGTCATTCGTGATTTCGAAACTCCCGAAAACTTTTTCCACGACTATCAAACACAATTCGTACCTCGCGCATGCGCCCGGTAACGTAATTTGGCCGATTTTCTTCTTCTTAGTTCTTGACTTCATAATGTAACGCCACTGATTTCAAAGCATATTCAAATTAAATACGTTGTACGATGTGAAATTGTCCTCACCAGTTCATCTGTTGACAGAGCAAGGCGTCGCTGTCATGGCCTGATCACGAGCCTATCCAAGTTAATGACACTTATTAGATTTGGTAGCGCTGGGAAACCTTTACGGAAACATGTCACATATTGCACCTATCAGAAAACTGGTATGTCAGGGGGGTCCTGACGCCCCCCACCTTCGGTTTCTGGAAAAAATCACACCAATATTAACCTCTTGATATCCGAATCTTGAAGACCTGAATCATAGTTCTAAACTGTACCTAATGGCACCGTTTGCCCTCCGACAACACCGAACCCCACATCAAGGAGACAAGGTTCTGCTTTACATCCGAGGCCTGTCGTTCTTAAAAGAAAAAACTGACCCCCCCCCCTCCAAACAATCCTAGATCCGCCCCTGTATATGGCAGTTGTAAGGTGTGTTATCAGTGTAGGCATGTTAAGATATTTTAGATTTCAAAAACCGAGCACCCCGCCCCCCTCGCCTCGGTCCCACCCTGGTGTTTTCAAACTGAACAAATTCTCGTACTACTCCTTCCAGTATATTTTAACAACCCTCCACCTCCATCCACCTATACAAACGGGTGAATGCACATTTATGAAAGAACACTATGCAGATCTATTACGTAAATGTATGAAATACAAGTCGCAGTATGGCCTGGTAGACACTATTGAAAAACCGGTTCACTGAAAAAAAGTAGTCCATACAACTATGTAAGAAAACGAAGGCGAGAGTTTATAAATATTAAATAAGGCGTGTGAGGTAAGAAGCTTTCAGTTGCTTTGATAGTTCACAGTTCACTCAGTCATCGTGTTCCCACTTGTAAGGGCGGTTACCTGAGTTTTTACCTTTAGTAACAGCAAAATATATATAACAGGTATATATGACCATAGTGAGAGTAAACCATGGCTCTACTGAGCGATATTCTAATCTTCTGTCGCTACTGCGCCATCGTTCTTCTCGACTGGTTACTTCGTGTCGTCCTGGGGCGTCGCTTTACGCCGCTCACAGAGGACAGCCTGCTCCAAGATCTGTCTCTTAACGACCGGCGTCTACTGCTGTCGGACAGTCTTACTGGGCGCTGGTGGTACCAGGGGTGCATTCAACTGTTGAAATGCTACCGTGAAGATGACACCTGCTCGGTGGCTGGGAGGCTGGGAATAGAAAGGAGATTGAAGGAGGTAATGAAGAATAGACTTGCTATATCAAGACGACTACCGACTGTGGATTTGACCAAGGTGAGTGTTTAGAGTCTGATACTACCACTCGTACCACTATACGAAGCTTTAAAATTAACCCAGAACTTAGTCAGCACGATGCATAAAGGTTTTTCATGATTCGTTGTTTTTATGTAAACCATGCATTTTATACTCGTGTCGCTTATTGAAATGCAATATTTTTCTGACACTTAAACAGTAAATGCAATTTTGACAAGACACAATCACAATAACTTAAATTCGCTATTAATATCAATTCAACCGCTTAAGATTTCAACATGTACATTGTCGTTTTTAAGTGCCCTATCAAGGAGCCTATTTTCATCATTGGACCACCGCGGACGGGGACAACGTTTCTGCAGAATTTGCTGTACTAGGACCTGCGGAACACTTCGCCACTCTTCTACGAGTTGATGTGCCCCGTGGAGGAGAACACAGACGCTGTGAATGCTGGGGAAGACCCGCGTGTTCTGATGTCCAGTTTCTTTCTAGGTAATATAATTGATGTATTTATTTTATGGGTGGTCAGTGGACCGTATGGACCGTAATAAGACTTTGCCTATGCAATGGATTAATGGGATTACCAGTTTTATGTTTTTGAAAACAATCTCTCATGCTCTTTCCCCTGACACACACACACACACACACACACACACACACAGTCGCAGAGAGAGAGAGAGAGAGAGAGTGAGGAGAGGGAGGGGGAAGTGAGAGAGGGTTCTCAAATTATATATATATATATATATATATATATATATATATATATATATATATATATATATATTTCAGATGCCACGTACAAAGGTAATCCACTGCTCAAAAACATTCACTACGTCCAGGCCAAGAGTCCTCATGCATGTCACCCTTTGTTCGACAATATGGGGATATTTAAGTTTTACCAGGGGATTAGCGGTAACACTGGTCCATATAGAGACTGGGTGCGCGCTGGAACCAAGGAAGAGATGTTGGAAGCCTATCGTTTTCATCGTTTGCAACTTCAGCTTATTCTTTTAGCAAGAGGTAGGTGTAGAAATGTGGTCGTTATAGACATGCAGAACATAATAGAATTTAATCGACTCAAATTGTTTCCTTTTCCTTTAGTTGTTTTTGATCGCATTCAAAACAGATCTAACAGATCCGCGGATCAAATATGGCAACCCACTAAAATCTTGCCGCTTAATTCCCGATTAGACACTGAATAGATTCCCCATGGGATTTCTCAACAAACATTAAAATTCTCGTATTAATTAGTCATACCTGATCCAAGGATACGTTAGTCCGCTGTTCTGAATGCATTCTTTGTCTTATTATTATAAAGAAATTCTATATTTATATTAATATTCATATATTTAAAAGTATTTTGATTTTTTGGCAGAATCGCATTTCAACATCCACATCTTTTATTAGACTCAGCAGACCATGAGCAACAAGTCATTCTGAAAGATTCCATTCACGGGGTGTACCTGGACGCAATTCTGGCGGTGTATCCGGACGCAATGTTTATCCACACCTACCGCAATCCATGCAAATCGCTCGCCTCCGTGTGCTCAGTGGTGCAACACTTCACCTTTTGTGCCTACGACCCCAAAGATATAGGTAGGGGCTTGTCCTTAAGCCTCTTCTTTACTTCTGAAATATGCTAACTTTTGATATATACTAACCTTAGAAATAATAATCTGATGAGATTTTTTCTGACCTGTAAATTCATAAAATTGTTAATCTTTGTTGTTTGTTTGATTGTTTGATTTATAATCCTGTCGATGTAAATAACGTATGCTTGTATTGTTAATGACTTCTGTTTGCGTTTTAGTTATCTGTTTTCATATTTTAGGAAGAGACGCCCTAGACAATCCCGTATTTCACGCGGGGAACGAAATCCTAGAATTCAGAAAGAACCACCCTGATCAAGAACACAGATTCGTCGATATAGACTACGAACATCTTGTGAGAGCGCCCATAGATACAGTGAGAACGATTTATAATAAGTTTGGGCTCGATCTCAGCGAGCAAGCTGAAGCGAAGATGAAGGAGTACTTAAAAGAAAATCCCCAAAATAAATATGGTCGTCACCATTACGACTTGGAGCCGTACGGGTTGAATGAGGAGGAAATATTTGAGAAATTTCGAGATTATATTGAATATTTTAACATTCAGTGCTAACATCATAACATGTAAATATATAACCTACTGAAATGTCTTAATTTTAAATATTTAGAACAAAAACACTCAAAAACGGAGAAAAGCATTGAACTATTAATAGGATTGCACATGGAAGCTCACAGTGGCGAGATAATGCGTTGGCATCAGATCAAGTGGGCGTTGACGCACGCTTACACGGTTTGCCGAGAGGTTAAATTAAATCATAAGGAAACATTTTCGTTTCTTATTTCATTTTGACTGAATATAACAAGATTCCAATGACGCTTGCTATAGCTTCAACATTTTCGAAAAGCTGTCGGGCTTGGGCCACTAGTTCATTATTGCTTCAATTTCGAACACTGTTAGATACGTAAAAAATGGACAAATAAAGCAAATATGTGAGGCTCGAAACTTGCGTTAGACGTTCAGACTGGGTGTTCATACCTAGACCAATCTAACAGGATCAATCCATCTCCGAGGGGTTTCTCACTAAATTGCTTTCAGCTTAAGCGGCTTAGATGTCTGGCACGCCTACTGAACCTGCTAAACGATAATTAATTACCCCTTGCAGCTTCAGTAGGCGTGACAGCCATCTCAGCCGTTTGAATTGATTGCAATTTAGGGAGAATCCCCTCGGAGATAGATCGACCCACAGTTAGTACGATTGGGTCTGGTGCTTGGTGTTCTATCCGAGGACAAATCAGAAAAAGGTCATTTGAAGATTTGATACACCCCTTTATTATTTTTAATGAACAAGAGTATTTACACTTTTTACAATACACATGTACAGCCATGATAACTTTGCTTGGGAGTTGAACAGTTCTGTCCGTTTCTTTATACAGGGAGCAATATAATTAATATATACATATTTACAATTGCCAGCACCGCTGAACTAGAGAACGTCTTCATTGTGACAATGACACTCAAAATAGCAGAGTATTCACGTGACTTGCTGCAGTCCTAGAGCTGAAGAGGTAACTTTTTCACTCGTCACGGACTCGGCTGGCAAAACATGTTTCACTTCCCCGACATCAACCGACTTCCCCGACACGGAGCTGTTGGATCAGCCATCACCTTTGAACTGGTCAAGGTCTTGGAAGACCAATAGCTCATATTGCACTTTCACCGTTGATCACGAAAGGAGATGGCCTGAGTTCGTTTTTACGATCTGGTGAAGCACTGTGAACAAAATAAATAAATAAAATAAATCATTTGATATATTAATAAAGATTGGAATATTTTCATGAAAATTAGAGGAAGTGAATAAGAAGATTGTTTTCATTTACCATAAGATAAAAACAGTCAATGTTTCAATACTTAATATTCTTACCTGCTTAAAGCATCTTGGCAATGCTTTAATGATCCTTTTCTTGAATCTTTTCAAAAAGGATTTTCTTTTCTTGCCGATGTTGACGCTCTCCAAGTTGTCTTTACGAGCGTAATCATCTAGAACGAATAATTGTTTTCAAGTTTACTGTCTCTTCATGCTCATAAACCATGAAATTAAATTATACCAAATTTTGAAAATATNTTTTTTTCTGCCAAGTAGTCTTTAAAAAAACTTAAAAAATAGAGCCCAAATCATTACGGACGGAAAAAATGACTTTGGATTAATGATTAATTAACTATTTTTTAAAGATTTCACTTGATTTTTTATGTGTTTACCCCAAGGACTTGCTGTAATTTATGTCTCAATTGAAAGATATTGATTAAAATTTATTTTGAGTGTTATATGCAAAAAATAAAAAATTCCGTCCGTAATGCTAATTTTCACATTTTTCAAGTTTAATGCGCTATAAAATCATGAATTCAAAAAATACAGATAAATCTTGTACAAATTATTATCCCCTGAAGTCTCTTCTTTCAGAAAATGCAACTTTTGATTGATTTTTGTACATTTGAAAATTTTATGCCCAGGACACAAATACCACGGAATGACCCATACACCAGGCAGGAAGCCAATGCACTGTCACGTGCTTTGAAAATTCCTTTTGCCCATATATGATCTAGTCCTTGTTTGAACCTATTGTAAATAAGTCAGATCATGGAGTAAGTTTATATGGGTGAACTGAAGGGGCAGCATCATGACTAATCTATATGTTTTTAATATTAACAGGCATCAATGATCTTGAATAAAAATGCCTGGTTCAGAGTCCACATGCCAGCACATATAGGGTCCTGCTCAGTAGTAGACACAGACAATGGGCATTTCTAACATTTCATGATAGTTTCCCATTATTATGAAATCTACCAGTAATAATTAATATTGATCTAGACAGCTCATAACTCTACAGCAGGACATCTAGTTAATACTGGCCTTTAAAAAGAAGAAAAAAAGGAAATTTAAGATTAAAAAAATTGGAGAAAATAGGAGTTATTAATATCAAAGTATAGCAATTTTTTTATAAAAGATGCCCTTCCAATACCCCTACAGACATTTTGGCCTAACAGGTCTTTATACATAGGCATCAAATGACACAATATCATTACAACTACATGCTTCGTACATTAATTTTTTAAGGACTAATTTTTGTTGCATGTTAAAATGGCAGTATTTGCATGTAATGCTTTATTATATCAATACTTTTTTTTGGTCAACTACTAGTACCATGGTCAACTGACTAAAGATGCGGGCTGCATATATCAATTATAAATAGTAATCAGTGAGAAAATAACCTCTTTACAAGAGGCCTCACCTGCTAGCATCCAGCTCCTCCTCCAGAATAAAATTCTTAATATTTCTCCTCGCTGCCGCAATCAGTTTTGAATCAATGTCCAATCCCACAATCCTCCTTGGTTCAAATTCTTTGGCAATTTGCAACGTCACCAGTCCTACGTTGCAGCCAATATCTAGGACATCTTTCCCCTCAAACCACTCTTTTATAAAAACTTTCAGCCGGAAATCTTCTTCCATGTTCGGGTTTCTATACCCATAGTACCTGTTGTAATTCCCATGAATAAATTTGGGGTTTTTCTTGTGAAAATGTGTCCCCTGCTTGCCATCTTGTTTCTTGGGTTTGCTTTTGTGTAACTTCCCACTTCCTCCACTGCTGGAGAGTGGATCAGTCTGCAGTTTTTCACTGGGCGTTGTTTCTGAGGTTAGAATACTCCGTGTAACTGTCGTACTGGCTGATGGTTTTCGACTGTGTTGCCGGCTATGTTGTGGAATCACCGGAGAAACAATTTCATCGTTAACCTTGCGCATCGCAGTCACCATTTCTTCACTGGTATCTATTGTTAAAGGTGTGGTAGCAACACTGCTACTGCTGCTTTTTTCCTCTTCTTTCTTCCTTCCTTCATCTGTCTTGTTCTTTTTATTTTTAACATGATGATTTCTCTTTTTCTTCTTTGCACTATTTGATTTCATCTCCCCGTCATTTTGCTCGTTCAAGTTCAGTGGGTCAGTAATATTCGGTGGAATGATAACTTCAACTTGTTCCTTGCGATGTGCTGGCGTGGGGATTGGTGACGAGACTGGAGTGTCTTGATTCAGCGCTTTGTTGACTTCCTCATCGTCACAGAGGCTGTTCAGATTCAAAGGGTCCCTGATGTTCCCTCCCAACAGGAATTTGGTCGGCAGTGGAAACTGACCAGGTGCATGCTGCTTACCACCCAGACGACTTTTTTTCGAAGTGTGACGGCTCTGCCACTCCTTTTGACTCCCCTGGCATTGACGAATAACGAACAATAATATATAAATTTGCAAATAACACATTTAAAAAAAAATATTGGACAACTTTAGTAAGATGTCAAGACACATTGCTACCTACAGTAATAATATAATTCTACAAAATTCTGATCTTTTTCCTTTGACAAATATCAGGGCATTGCCCCCCCCCCCCCACCTCTCAACTCAGGTCACCATGACCTTGAAACTTATTAGCGGGAGTGATTTGCTGCAGTTAAAAAATATCACACTCACAGAGAGCAAATCCATAGGCAAACACTTTGTTTAAAACGTGCAAATAATAACTTTAGCAATCAGAAAGAAAAAGAAAGAGTTTAACATACCAGACGTTTCCTAGCGCCCTGCGAGTGCTGCCTGTTATAAGGTCTTTGCTGCGCTGCCGAGGAAGCCACTGATCCGTGAGTACTGTTGTTGCTCAACGACGGGTGCTCCGACACCTTTTCTTCACTCGAGATCGTCGGCGACGGCTTCGGTTTCGACGCAGGCGATCCTTCTCCGCAGGGAAACTCCCTGTGCTCATATTGTGTCCTTGTTGGCGTCTTTACTTCGACGCTCATCGCTGCTTTTTAACCGAGGAAAAAGTTTTCTAGAATCGTTTTCCAACCACGTTGTTTACATCGCTACTAGCGACCCCTGGCGGCCGGGCACCGTACAGTGAATAACCTTGGTCCACTTTCAGCAATGAAAGTTTCGAGTCAGTTTTCTCTACAGTCAGCGAAGGTAATTGTCCAACTATGAGCATGTAGCACGATCCTAAAGAAAACTGTCCTGACAAAGCTTCAATCGCCGTTAGATTATAAAAATTTTGGAGATTTTTTACTCTTCGACTCGCTTCGACCAGCACACCTCGACGTACAGAGCACGTTGTGATGTGCGCACGCGCACACCGTGGAATTGTGGGATATTTTATTGACCTAGTTTTGGAATGAACGGGTTTGGTGAATTAAAGTGTTTGTTTTCTTTAAAATATTTGCTTTTGAGTTTTGTTATCGAAGAAGCATTAATAACTGAAAAAGCCATTGTATTTTTCTCTTAACAAGGTTCCCAAAATGTCTGCATCAATCTGCAATTGTTTTTCTGTGATGGCGGGAAAAAGAAAATACCGATGCAGACGACAGTTTTTTTCAGTGTTCAGAAACGTTTGATCTACACTCCACATTTTATATGAAAATTTCTCTTTTAGATATTGTTGAAAATAAAGTTCTGGGGAGAAACCATGCCGTCTTTCTCCAGTTCAGAAACAGGTAAGAAACAAGTACAATATTATTATTATTATTTTTATTTATTCATTTATTTTATTCCAAATAAAATTCCAATTAAAATGCTGCAGTGGTGCCAAAATTAATCAACTGAGAAAAATCTAGATTATTGAGTATCAGTAAGTCATAATATGCAACAGTAAGTGTAAGCACATCTTTACATTACAGGGCCGTAGCCTCCGGGGGGGCAGGGGGGGCAGCTGCCCCCCCTGGGATTTGAGGTTCAAAAAAAATAAAATAAATAATAATCGCAAAGGTAAAAAAAAATAATTGCAAACTTGGTATCAATTCTGTGAGAAAATGCACTCATGGCCACTAGACAATCATTCAACAATCTAGGGAGGGGGACACCCCCTCCCCCCTCGGGGGCTTCGCCCCCTCGTGTCCGCTTACTGCCCCCCCTGGCATTTTGCTCAGGCTACGGCCCTGCATTACCAAAAACAATGTTTGAATATTTAAAAAAGCATTTATTTTTTTAAATAATTTTTTTCATAAAAACTTGTAAAATTAACAAATCATGAAATGGATTTTAGAGCCCAAAATTGCAAAGGAGGCACACAGCAATCAAAGTTCTCACAATGACATTGGGAATGAAATGGTAAGCAAAGAAAAAATATAATAAAAGATTAATTAATTAATTAATTAATAAAATCAAAATAATATAATAATAAATAAATGAGTATAAAAGAGAATTAAAATTGTACAGTTAATAATTGTAGTTATGCTTAGGAAAATTTCCACTTAATTTTAACCAATCAATAATAATCATTCATCATCAGCAATGTTATTATGATTTACAAAGAGTCAGTTTCAAAATTTGATGTATTTTTTTTTTTAGAAATTCATAGCTCTTCTTGATTTATTTTAAATATATATGCTCCTTTTTGTGTTGTGTATTTGATGTTTGATGTTTTACCAATGTATATCAGCGGCGGATTCAGGCCGTCTTCTGGGTCTTCCGGAAGACGGTCAGATTTTCAAGTTTACATTGACAGGTATCTAATTTTTTCTGTCGGAAGACAGTCAACAATGGAGGCTGGATCAACAAAGATAATTTGGAAGACTGTCAGAAAATATCTCTGGATCCGCCCCTGTATATTGTAAAATGTTGCATGTAGGAATACGCCTCCTGTACGCCTGTATTTCTTGTTTTACGCCTCTATTTTGTTCTTCTTTTATGATTGAGAATCCACCAGGATTTTTAGGGATTAATACACCTGGAAAATTTTGAAAATATGTGAATAAAATTCCGTATGGGCAGAGATTAATTTGGTTAAAATTTTTAGGAAGAAAAAATTAAAAAGGATGAACAGGAGCACAAAGACCTGAAGAAAGAAGCTGTCTCAGACCCCACAGAAAACATTGCTGTGCCACTGAAACCAGAGACACAGCCCAAATTTCCAAAAGTCCCCAAGAAAATGAAACCAAAATATCCAGCTCCAATGGTAATTAATATCGCTTGTAAAATTAAAAATTTGAAGGTGTTTTATTGTTGTTGCTGTTATTAATGTATGTAAAGTGTCTCTCTGTTTTTATGAATTTCTTTTTTTGAATATTACAGTTGAATAATAAAGGAATAATTAATAACATCTAATATAAAGTAAGCTAATATATATATACATATATATATATTTTTTTTTTTTGCAGACCAAGGGAAAGGAAAACCATGCACATCATGAAGACAAACTGAGCAATAAAAAGAAACGGATGGTATGAGAATTTTATTTTTAAATTTCTATTTATTATCATCGTCATTACTATTACTTTTTTTTTAGGTGACCCAGATGAAAGCTGCTTTTTTATTTAGGGGCAAGTCTTTTAATAAAACACCAGTCCTCTTTTCAGGCTCTGGTAAGTTTTTGAATGTTCAGTCAACATCTTTTTATCTCTTTCACCTCCTCATTGCTTCATATTGAAAGTCTTTTTATTTTTAGAAGAATGCAGAGTCAAATAAATTGAAAAAGGCCAATGCTGATGGAACAAAACCAATATCTTCAGACTGTAATGGACCTAAAAAAGCCAAAAAGGCTCAGGTAATGTGATATTTTCTGAATGTATGATTGCTTTTAGATATTAAAAAAAAAGATCAGTGACCAAAACACTAAATGCAAAAAAAAAAAAAAAAAAAAGGGGCTTGGTTCGTTTGGAAAAATTGATGAATACTTTTGATTTTCTACAAAGTATGTTGGCTCCTAGGTGCTTAGTATGGCATATATTGTTATTTATTTATTTATTTATTTATTTATTTAACATGCAGGGTCCCTCTGCGGTGCCTAGCCGTAGTTATACAGACGAGGAATGGGAGGAGGTGTTTGAAGCAGTTCTCACCAGAGTTCTAGATAATGATGGAGAAGACCAAAAGAAAGCAGGTACATATATTATATTATGAAGCTCAAACAATGGGGGACAGATACATTTACAATAAAAGGGGATAAAAAACATGCAGCTCAAAGAATGAGGTTGGCGTAGCTCTGGATGAATATAAAAGTGGGTGATAGTTTGAGAAACATGAGCAGAACATGAGCTGGTGTTTTCAAATTTTCTAGCTGGTACTAATCAATTTTGTGAATATATTGATCTATTTAAGAAATAATTGAGTAGAATTCTGTATTATTTTCAGAAGTGGAGAAAGTAATGAAATTAGAACTGGATGATTTTGATGCACTTCTGGAGATGGCAGGTACAGCACTAGTCCTATATAAATGTCGTGTTTAAATTGTACAGAGGTTGTGATACTTCTGTATATAAAGATGTCTTTTAAATTATACGTAGGATTTTGTAGAATAAAAGATAACTTGGTTAAGAAGTAAAAAGTAGATATAAAGGTTTAATTCTCATAATTATTTTATCTGATACATCTTCTCTCCATAATAATTTTTTTATGACCAGTTTTTTTTTATTACTTATTATCATTATTGATTTTAAAATAAAATGAAAAAAAAAAATAAAATAAAAATAAAATAAATGATATAAAAGTAAAATAGAATTAAATAAATTGAACATAATTTCAGATGAAGACATGAGTGAATCATTTGACACCTCCAACAAACAGACTGGCCACCCTGCCAAAGTCACCCCTTCCCCAAAACTGACCAGTAGAGGAGGGAGTGGTCAGCAGCAGATGGACATCCCAGCCCCCATACTGGACCCTGGTGAGGACAGTAATGGTGTGGCCACCATGGGGGTGAGGGAGGACCTGATACATATTGATCCTCTAGGGGAGGATGGACTATTGGAGCATCAGGGAGAGGGTCCAGATGACTTTAACTTAGAACATCAGCTCAGGTGATCTTTTATTATTTATTTATTTATTTATTTATTTATTTATTTATTTATTTATTTATTTAATTGCTAATTTTTAACAAGAACTAGTCTATGTTGTGCCAGTAATAGTATCTATTAGATTGTTCATGAGATGATCTTTTATTTATTTATTTATTTATTTATTTATTTATTTATTTATTTATTTATTTATTTATTTATTTGTTTATTTATTTATTTATTTATTTAATTGCTGATTTTTAACAAGAACTAGTCTATGTTGTGCCAGTAATAGTATCTATTAGATTGTTCATGAGATATATTGAACTGATAAAAAATTCAGTATCTCAATATATCAATCAGAATAATATATGTTGATGTAAAATATAATTTTTATTATCAGTGTCAATCAGCAGGCTTTTAAAGTAACTTTGAATTTTTATACATAATGAAACAGAAAGGTAGTAAAATATATTCTTAATCATTTGTTTTAACAAAATAGGAAAATTACAATACTATTATATTTTAATAAGTTAATTATTCTTCAAAAAATAATTTGTCCTTTAAGTGGCAAAACATCCAAATAAGAAAACCCTACTTATTCATTAAATAAAATCACCCCAATCCTTACCGAATGTTAATCAGAGCTGCAGTAATGCAAGAAGTCAATGAAATCACTCCTGACTGTAGTGACAGCGAACAAAAGACAGCCGTGGTTAACATGCCAGAGAGAAAAAGGAAGAAAAATGGAAAACTTACCTCAAAGGGGAAGAAGAAAACCCTGCAACCCAAGCAGCTAGAGTACAGTCCAAATGGATTAGTTAACCCCAATGCCAAATGTAAGAATGGTAGATAAGTATTTGTGTTTGTTAAAATTCTTTGATAACCAGTGCAAGTTTTAAATTTTGCGTCACATTTTCTGATTTATAATTGAATTTTTTTTTCCGTAAAGAGAAAAGGTGCATGTCTGTCACTATAGATGCATATAGACTGTCTCATAGACTTCTTTGAACTGTTAAATCAACTCTGGCGTGTCAGCAAAATTATTTGGAGTTAAACTGTTGACAAGTATGCATTTATCTGAAACTAGTTTTTTTTTTTTCTTTTTTACTTTTCCACTTATTTTTTTTTTTTTTCAGATGAAGGAAGCAAAGCGTCACAGAAAAAGCATAAAAGGAAAAAAGTCCAAAAAGTTTCTTTGAAAGATAAGATGAGATGCAGGGAGATAGAAGAGAGAGGTATTATATGACATTTAAGATTTGAATTTATACTAAAAATTGTTGACATCAGTATACATTGTAAAAATAAAAAAAATTGTACCAAAATAAATGGATTTTAAAAAATACACTTTTGTGGGGATTTTTTTAAAATCCAATACTGGACTTAAATTTTTCTGTAGTTTATGAAGTTGCTTCTCCTTCTTGAAGATTCAGCCTGTCTACAGAGAATACAGATGATCTTTTCTTTATCTCTTTAAGTAATCTGCATGGGTACGTATTAGAAATAATATCAGGATATTTTATGATGTACATTGTCTCAGGTGTGTGGGTGCAGTGTGGTTCCAGCAGCTGTATGAAGTGGAGATATTTACACCACATTACTGACCCCTCTCAGATACCAGACCAGTGGTTCTGTTTCTTGAATACAGGTAATTAAATTATTGCAAGAAAAATTAAAATGCTTTTCAACTGGAGTTGTATTTTAGTCCAAAAATCATTCTTGTAAGTTGTTATAGCTTACTGCAGCAGTAATAATAAAACAGGCTCACAGAATGTAGTCATTTCTGATAATTTACAAAGTATCAATAACAAAGTTTTATTCATTGAAAGTATTTAAATTTTCCCCACTTGAGATCCTGAGCACAATGCCTGTGACAAGGTGGAAGAAGATTATGATGAAGATGATGCTGCTTACGAGTTCACTCAGTACACAGAGGGTTCCTTAGTCTGGAGTAAGATGGATGGATATCCTTGGTAGGGGATGATCTAGCAAGGCACAGGGTTATAATAATTATAATAATAATAATAATAATAATAAGTTAATAATAAGTTCTTAATAATTTCTTTAAAACAGAATGCCTCAGCACTGTATACAATTATAATAAAAAGTGCCTTCTGGATTTATTAGTTTTTGAGAAAAATATCTAGTGCAAACAAAAACTGGAACTAATAATTCAGTTTGCTTCAACTCATTATTTAATTGGCCAGATTCTTCATTGTTACTATATCAATACAGTTATACTTTCTTGTTAATTTGATTAACTCTAAACTGACAACTGCTAGATATTCATAACTTCTCTAGGAAATTACTGGAATGATCAAGTTAAAAGAGTTTATGATTGTTGATTTTCAATTTCAAAATCACTTCAAAAACTAATATATTAATATTTTAGGTGGCCAGGAATGGTGGAAATGGACCCAGATTATGAAGATTTCTACGAGGTTGAGGAGAATTCAGTGATGCCAGTGAGTAATTTCATAGAAACTTTATTTTAGCTAAAAATCTGTATTTTTTTCTACCCATTAATTCAATTGATTTTACATCTATATTTACCTGATTTCAGTTACACTTGATAAATAATTTAAGATTTACCATAGTCAAAATGCATAAAATAGAACCTTTTATACAAACCTGTTAATAGGTGACTTATTTCTAATTCCAGAGCCACTATCACGTGGTGTTCTTTGACACCAGGGTCTCCAGAGCCTGGATAAAAGCTGCCAGAATGTTGCCTTTCACTGGGAAAGAGGGTGTGGCAGAAATTGGGCTGGTAGGTGAAATACATGTACAATGGTGTCATGTAAATTGGACATGTGCACTTGCCTGGAAATAGAACCTTAAAAAATAATTTTGATAGTAAAAAAAAACTTATTGTTTCTCTTACCTTCCAAGGTTTAGAATGTTAATATTTCGTAATTGTTTATTATTATTACTGATTAATTGATAACCAACTCATGCCATAATTTGTTAATATTACATATTATTTATTTATTTATTTTTCAATATAATTCATTCATATATAAATATCTTTGATACTCAATTGTTCACCATCAGCCCAGGATAAAGGGTCATGACTACACCAAGGAGGTGAACAGAGCCAAGGAGATGGCACTTCAGGCTTTGGGGAAGTCTATTAAGGTAATAAGTCTGGGCATGAAAGTCTTCCCGATGTGTGGTCATTGTACAACATACTAGTATATATGGTCTTCATATAGAGCTGTGTGACTTTGGCGCTGTCCTTTTCAGAATTTTTTAAGGTTCAATTTCATAACAGTCTTTTATCAGCTCTAGATGGCAGTTGCCTTGCTGCTTCCAGTCATTTAGTGCATAGTGTTTGTAGTGTGCGTAGTTGTGTGCATTATTTTGAATTGTATTGGTATGATTGATCCCATTAACACGTGTCAGGATAAATATATTCATATTATTGCATGATTTACAAGGAGGCTTCAATCCCCTTTATTTATTTACTTTAGTTAATAATATTGATATTAAATATATTATATAATTATATATATCAACAGGAGAGGCTGGCAGACTACGGCTTTGCTGGGAGGTTTGTTGGTCACTGGGGTACAGAATCTGTCACCTGTAGTCAAGGTGTGGTTTTATCAACTCATGATCAAAATATTTTAAAAGTTTATTTAAATTAAGTTACTACACACTGGTGGAAACAAGTGATATGTACTGAGTTAATATTTTAAAGTTTTTTAACCAGTGAATCTTAATAAAACGAAAAACAAGGTGGATATTATGAATTGGAAATTAATGGTTAAATTAGTAAACAATCAAATGCACAATTCTGGCTGTAAATGCCGTTAACACTAGGGATCGATGTGATGTAAAGAATTAAAATTGAATTTATAAAAACAATGACTCTAATTCTCAGATATAATATCTAAAAAGCTTTTAAATTCATATTATCTCTTATAGATTCTAGTGAAACTATGAAAAGGAAAAGCTCTAAGAAGCGACATGGTGATGTGCCCAGGTTGGAGGACTCGGAGTTTGATGAGATGTTGGAGGGAGCACAAGATGTACTAGACAATGTGGAACAGGTGCTGGATGAATTGATGTGCAGTCAAGAGAGCTTCACAGGTACATACATTGTCACTGGGCCAATTACAGAACCCTTTCATTGAAGTCAAGCAAATACATTAGTTTTGTATATATTCTGATCCCTGTTTCTGCAAATGCTCGAAAGTTTTTTTCTATTTGATGTCTGTACATTTGCCAGATTTGCTGTCTAGTTATATGTATTTATTTTGATCATCAGACCAGTACGAACCATTCCCTGTGTCACCAAAGAAAAAGAAGAAATCAAAATCCAGCAGTGTGAAGAGCAAAAATCCTGACAGGAAGAGGTCTCACCAAGGTGGGATTTAAATGAAGAAAATGCTCTCTTCATTTTGGGCATGCATAGCCAACATTATACATGTATAACACGACACACATAAAGCTACTCTTTATCACGCTACAATTAAACACCCATAAGAAAACACTTCAAGAAATGACAACACATGTACAGGATTGCAATTCAGAATCCAATCTCAAAACAAAAAGCTAAAACTTATTTACTTTGTGATGTTTTTCAGACTCAGCATCCCCTAAGTGGATTTGTTTTGCAACTTGTTTGTAGAATTGCCCCTTTTTTTAAATAGAGTGGAATTCCTTGAGGCTCCACAGTCTTAAATTTGAAGTACAAAATCTATGGTATCTGTGAATCGTGTCGTTACTATTATTACTGTTATTTTGCAGATTCTGCAACAACAGTTAAGCAACAGAAAAAGAGAAAGAAGAAGAATGAACAGTCCGTCAATACACAGCTGGGATCAGTGGCTGACACAGCAAAGTCTCAGGTCAAGGAGACCAAGGTTAAACCATCTTTCAAGGCTCCCAAACCTTGCAAAGCTGCCACCGCCTTTCCAAACAAGAAAACTGCTCCAGAATTCAGCAGGAAGGATTCAGGAAAGAAAGCCTCCTCCAAGAAGGTTCCTGCAAAGAAGCCAGAGTTTGACCCTGATGTGTTCACCATGGAGGCCTCCCAGGAGGAAGAAATGGAGGAAAGCTCAACTGAGGCATGTATGGAGAAGGTTGAGACACAAGATGATGGTGATGACAGCCAAATCTGCAAAACAACTGGTGCAAGTGATAATAATAGGAAGACAGAGGAAGATGAGGCGACTGAAACCAGTAGTGATGACTTAGATTGTGATGCCAAAACTAAGATGTCTGAGGAAAACACATCCAAGGTTGAAAATGATGACTCTTCCTCACTTGAGAAAACTTCCCATGCTGAAGCTAGACCTGTGAAAAACATCATGACTGAAGTGCCTTTAAACACTTCCAACCAGAAAGCCTGGACTAAAACTAAAAAGAAAATTGCACACAAAACAAAAAGGCCATTCCTGAAACCTACTCTTCGAAGACAGGTAGAAAATGATGCTGTTCTAGTTCCAAATCAAACCATGGCCTCCACTGAAGAAACAGAAGGAGAACATAGGGAAGAGAAAATTGTGAAGGGAAGGAAGAAAAAGAAACACAAGTTTGTAGCACCCTCAGGAGCCAAGTGGCCAACAAATGCTGCTGCCAAGTCTGAATCAGAAGAGAAAAGCTCTAAACACCATGAGAAAGTAGACCAGAGAGTAAAAGTTGAACCAGAAGCCACAGTCTTTGATGCGTTTGACCAAGAACCAAATGGAGAGTGTATAAAGCTACCTGCCAGCCCTGATGAGAATCCAACTCAGTTGCCTGAAGATACCAATTCACAAGAGGGATCAAAAGAGTCAAGTACATTCAATAATCCAAAAAAAGAAAATAAATCATGTAAAAATACACAGGATAATGAGTATAGTATTGACCTTGACCTAGATAATGATGACCTTGACCCCAGGATTGAGGATATGAGGATGTCAGATATCCATGTTGAGGGCCTCTATGGTCAAGTGTCAGATGTCGGTGATAAACTTGTGACCTTGACATCTCAAGGTCAGAGCGAGGGCGATGAAGGAGAGGAGTCTGACCCATTTGAAATAGAGGATTAACTCTGTATTTTTTAAAGTACTATGGGAAGTGAATATGTTTATGAATTGAGTCGTTTCAGTGGTAAAAAGCCATTGTTTACTGTGTGGATTTTTAATATTTTGTTGACTTTATAAAAATTTTTAATTTGCCAAAAGTAAGTTATTAAATTAAGACCTTTTTAGTGTTGACTTTTATTATAGTTGTACAAGTAGTCTCGGATGTATATATTGTTAAGAAAATATTTTCAGTGTTTTGGATTTTCTTATCACTATAGTGAATATAATAATATATATAATATATATAATATAGATGTCATTCAAAGTTCAAAGTTCATATAAATTTTAAGTTATTACAAAAAGTTTTATGGAATTTCCATACTCTTAACTGTTATTGAATTGTGATTTCCTTTTAAAGTTCTGTTCATAGAATATTGATATGCAACAACTTATTCTATTAGATTACATATGTTGACTAATTTTAAATTTGTTTGTTCAAAAATAAATAGTGGTACCAGTCAGGTTTGAGCACTTTGGCTTTGAACACAAAAGAAAAAAAGTTTTTCACTTCAACCTCAACATTTCTGTTAGGATCAATTTGCAGATAAAGTCGGACATAATCTTGGGGTGTTAGAAATTAAGCAGGAAGAGATAGTACCAAACATGTTTTCAAATAAAAAGAAAAGAAATCCAGCCAGTTAATTTGAAAATTGACCTAAATTTCTGGTCAACAACCACAATTATCTTTCAAAATGATAATTTTATTACCCTTTGATACACATTAATATTGAACCACACAACACTTGGAATTCACTTTGTCATGGAATAAGGACTTAAAATGGGAATACAGAATTAAAAGAAAACTTGATCTGTTCTTTACACTAACTAGAAATTGAAAAAGCTCAATATGTCCAGCATTATAAAATATTGTTCAAGCTCAAAATTATGCTGAGATAATATTTAAATATGCCACGGTAATATTTAAGAAAAATGGATAAAATAACAAAAGCACCAATTGTTTTTATATACCACAACGCTTAACAATTTCAATCAAAATTGGATTCATTTGATCATGAAAAATACAAAAACCCATAAAATCAAAATGAGAGTGAGATTCAAAATATGGGTTTCAAATGTTTAAAAAATTGCACATTTGTCGTCAGACTAGTAATTTTTTTTTTTTTTTTTTTTTTGGTAAATGGAAGAAATCAAACATCTATGTCTTGAGTCATCTTAGACACTTATACCCCCTACATAGTGAATTTGACATTTTCTACCCTTAAAATAAATTTTGAAAAAATCTGTAACAGTTCTTGCATTAACATTGTTATGTTAAAAAAATAATAAAATACTGGCCCTCTTTCCAGAGGGTCCTCACTCATTAAACAAAGTATCAATTTTGCTTGACCTTACATGCCATTCGGCGTGTACTGGCAAAAATTGTACAAGTATTGGGGCCTTCTTTTAAACTACTAAGTGTCAATAATCAACTTTGCAATACTGTTCAGAGCTTTTTAAAAAATTGTCTCTTACAAGTTGAAATGCTTAAATGGGCTACCGTTTCTAGAAAGAACACAAACTATCACCAATCCGTTCTAAGGCTCTCATAAATTCCTGAAATATGAGGTAAGAGCCCTTTAAATTCGTTGAGAAATATGACTTGCACAGTAGCTGACCAAAATTCTAAGCAGAAACAGAAACAGGATTATTACACCGGGATCCCATACTGAAAGGTTTAACAAAGTGTTATAACAAGATTTACCCTCTAGTAATGATAATTACTACTACTACTACTTAAAATTAGATTGTCTCACTTTCCTAATATCTTAAATAGACAAAAATGTACTTACAGTACTGACATGAAGCCATCTCGCATGTCAAAACTTCTGAATCATCACTTTAAAGTATTACTGTTCAAACTTTTTATGATGGGGAAGGGTGGGGGGTATCAATTATTGTTGTTGAAATCAACTGAGTAATTATCATAACATTTGTATGGTTATTCAAGTATTTCTATGGTTACCGTAGACGACGTAGAGGTATCCAGAGGTCCATTTCATCTAAAGCAGATCTACTGTACAAAGCCACAGCATTATCGCATTAAAAAATATAATATCATCATGGTCAATTAAGTTAATTACTAATTTACACATTAAACATACCTGATCTTGTCCTCCGGGTATCTTTGTGAGATACCAGTACAGTATGAAACAAGCTATATTGGATTAGGGCTTTCCCTACTAAGTACTGGTATACTTTATCCAGGTGCTAAAAACATAGGGATTTCTCTACTAAGTGAATACAAATTCAATTTTAGCCAAATTTAGTAACAATGTAGGTCATGACTTGTGTTTCATGTAAGTTAGAAACGATCCAACTTTCATCTGAATGTGAGCTCAGCATTAAGTCATACAATATCAGTATTATGATGAATCACTCTAGTTCTGTCTTTTTACCCATCTATGCAAGAGAATCCACTTAACTGAAGCACCTGTCTTAAGGCAAGTCCAGCAAATTATGCTTGGTATACAAGTCCTGTGCACTGGCATAGACCTCTTGAGCTGCAACTATGGTCTTTCGTAACGTCGTTTTCGTCACTTCCACGTCGCTCATTCCTATCTTCTCCATCAGCTGTTGTTGTGTGGGCAAGGTGTGCATCGCGAGTTCGGCACCTTTTCTAATCAACCAAGGATGAAACTTACTCAGTGTTGTTCTGTAGGCGTCCACTGCCAGCCATGACACCTTATCCCCCTCCTGGGCCTGGACCAGTTTATCCAGAAAACTTGCCAGGAATTCAAGAGCTCGGTGGAGGCGAAGGAATGTTCGTGAACCTGAGGCAACCTTGCTTGTTTTTGCTGTTGTTCCTTTTTCGACTTCGTAGAGGATCATTTTCTGAACTGTGGCATAGTGTTCACCTGAGAATAGTAAAAAAAAAAATGATCATGTTCAACAAATTACTGACCACTTGTCTACACTTGCTGCTGTTTATAGTTATTTATTAAGATAACAGATGCAAAATAAGGCCTTTCACATCATATAATGTATCTAAATGCTACAGCTATATCAGTATATTGTGAAATGTTCCACTGTGTATTTAGGCCACAGGTGTTTTAACTCATTAAGGCATACCAAGTTTTGTGAAAATAAGGGCTATAACTTTTCTTGCCATTTAAGCTGCAATTCTCAATGTCAACATTAAGGCTTATGATACCATATAAAATATAAATAAAAATAACATGGAAATTTGCTAACACCATCACTCTCTCTTTTAACATAGCTGAGGACACTTTCAGCATTGACATCACACAATGACGCAAACATCACAGCAGTCCCTGCAAGACATACCCTGCTCAGACTTGAGGTGATGTTCCAGTATGTGAACTTTATCTCTGATATCACAGTTTACGAAATTGAACACTGTACCAAGGAGGCTGTTAAAGCTGCAATTAAAAACAAAGCAAAATTAATTTTAAAAAAATATCTTTGAAAGCGAAACTTGCATGAGACAGCAGGAATAATGTACATTTGGGAGAAATTCTAAGCACATGCAAATGAAGAGGTTAAGTTCGCCATAAACGATAAACATCTCTTTAAAAATATGCCAATAATTAAAAAATGAAAGTGTAAGCAAACCATTCCTCATTGACAGCATGGAAAACGCTAGATCCTTGTTGCCTGCAACGTATTTTTCTGGTCTTCCCCATGCCTTGCATTTTTGCAGTCCTGCTCGAATTCTTTGAAACCACAGTGTATGTTAACATATCTCAGCGGTTTTATTGATCACCAGTCCAGTCGGAATCACTGTCTAGGGAAGCAGAGAAGGCACTAAATCGACCCATGCCGACTACTTTAACTATGGCGCTTTAAGCTTCACATCTACTTACTTTATTAGCTGGTGGTATGCCTTGATGTATTCATCCATCAAAAGCTCTCCGTCGTCGGTTTTGCATTTACAAAACGCCTCACACATAAGATCCAAGTTAAACTTCTTCTCCGCCTCAGCCATTTCCGTGTGTTCGACGCTGATGGATCCCAGAAATTTGATTGGTAGAAAATATCATTTGCCGCGGTCCTTAGAAAACTGTACACACGAGAGACGAGGAGATGTGAAGTTGATGTTATCCTTGTTTTGTCACCGGATAATTATAATTTCATAGTAAAGAATTACATCATATATCTTCTGAAACCATGGCTGAAATCAAAGTGGTCCCACTGGGTAAATTTGGATTGATGCATGCACTAATTACAGCATGCTTTGAAATATGAAATTTAGTATGCGGCTGAAACTTGAAAGTTTCAAGTTGTTTTGAAACTAAAACAAATGACGGCAGAGATTAGTTTGCGAAATAATTTAAGTTTTTATGCATATCTTATGTTTGCACACTGTTATGCAGAAAGAATAATTTATCTTAGATTTTTTAAAACAAAAATTAAAATGCATTTTTACAAAAATGATATACATTATATATTTCCCTTTCTTGTTTGTTTCAGGAGCCGGGCAGGGTAAGTAGAAATGTGAATGGCAGTCAGTACATTTAAAGGCCCCTCCTTATATCCTGATAATGCGTAAAATCAAGCATCTTTGTTTAATGTTAACTGAACTTCTCCCATGTTATCAACATGAGAGAGGGAGAGAGAAAGAAAGAATAAGAGAGAGAGGTTTGATTTGATCTGATTTATTAAGACATTTAAAAGTAGTAAAATTTTATTAGTAATTATTCATGCACTATTAGGATAGCACAAAAAAGTTATTAATTTTTTTCTGGATTCTTCAGAGAGATTGGATTATAAAAGTTCTAAAAATACAATCATTTCAGATGTTGGCAGAAGCTGTATTATAGTTTCTCTTGGTGGCAAGAATGTCATGCTGGATTGTGGGATGCATATGGGATACAATGATGATGTAAGCAGAGGTGATTTCAGCCTCCATGTGTGCTTCATATTTTGATGCTTGTTTGACTCTAAATCAATTTTTCATATTGAAATCATGTGGAAGGAGAAAGCTTATCTATTACAAAACCTGTTTTCATGTTTCAAAGACAACATTTCTTCTGAACTTGCTATTTTCTTTTAATCATCCAGAGAAGGTTTCCTGACTTCACCTATATAAACAGGTCAGGGACATTGACAGAATACCTGGACTGCGTTATCATCAGGTATGGTAATTATTGAACATTTTTGAATGCCAAACATTTAAAAAATATTTTTGAATTTTTGAACAATTATATACAGATGCTCAGATTATTGTTATTATTTGATGTACAGTGCTTAAAGCCTGTTGCTGATCTCACATTGATTTCTGTTGTAAATTTCAGTCACTTTCATCTTGACCACTGTGGGGCGCTACCATATATGTCAGAGATGGTAGGCTTTGATGGGCCTATTTATATGACGCAGCCCACTAAAGCTATATGCCCCATTCTGTTGGTGAGTGGCCTTAGATTGAGCTGATTGTCACATTCTGATATTAATAATTTTTTTCCAAATACTGACTGTAAGATATGCTGGCTAAACACAGAAAGCATTTGATTATAAGAGATATCCTTACTCTTTTATCATTTTTGAAGATAATTTTGTTAGTTTGTTGAACTGAGGGAAATAAGTTTTTATTGTTATAACCAAATTAATTTTACTGGATATATCTGAAATATGATTTTCATTTCTTTTTTCAGGAAGACTACAGAAAGATTACTGTGGACAGAAAAGGAGAACAAAACTTTTTTACTTCAGAAATGATCAAGAATTGCATGAAAAAAGTGGTACCTGTTAATTTACATCAAACAGTGCAGGTTAGTATTAAATATTGTGTTAAATCTTAGTAAGATTGAAGTCATATGGTTGGGATGCTAGTGATGACCTCTGACGGCAAGTAGAGCAATACTGTGTGTCTTTGATTGGTGCACATGTGGCATGGGATTACTCCAGAATAACTACTATCAGTCAGTTTGTATGTCCATGTGTATGATGAGCTGGATATCAAAGTTCAAGTTATTCATTTTAGGATAGTAATTTGTTGTCATATTGTGCTGTCACCTATTGTTTATTTCCAGGTGGATGATGAACTGGAGATCAAGGCATACTACGCTGGTCATGTGCTTGGTGCTGCCATGTTCCGTATCACAGTGGGCTCACAATCTGTGGTTTATACAGTAAGTATAATGTATAGTATTCATTAGAGGAAGATGGGTACATTTCCTAAGCAGTCTGAGAGCACTTATAAGTTCTGTTGCAATTTTATGAATTTTTTTTTTTTTGAAATCTATCAATTGTTAGTTTCTGCCTGACAAGGTATTGAACTTTTTGTCACTTGTAAGCAAGTTCAGACGTTCATTTAGGTGATGCATCTTTTTATCTTCTACTAATTTAAAATTTTTTCTGTCAGCTTTCATTTAATCTTGTCATCTTTAAAAAAACTTTTTTGTAGCCTGCTGTCACGTTTTATCAAACTGTGTAAAGTTAAAAACTGTTTTACCCCAGGGGGACTACAACATGACACCTGATCGTCACCTGGGCGCCGCCTGGATTGACAAATGTCGTCCTGACCTTTTGATCACTGAGTCCACTTACGCCACCACAATACGAGATTCCAAGAGGTGCCGAGAGAGAGATTTTCTCAAGAAGGTCCATGATTGTGTTGATAAAGGTGGAAAGGTGGGAACATTTATATTCTTTTATGTTAATAGAATTTAAAGAATGATTTAAAATAAATAATAATACGCCATTGCTGTTTGAGATAGGCCAATACTTCTAGTCTGTGTCTGGAGGTAAAAAGTAAAACATTATTACATTGCCAAAATTACCAACAATTACCTTCCAAAAATACTATGTTGCCAAAATTACCAACATAAATTTTTGGAAGGAAATTTTTTCCCTTGTTGTTAGAATTTTTTTCTAAGATATGTCAATTATTCAGGTGCTGATCCCAGTGTTTGCCTTGGGCAGAGCACAAGAACTCTGCATTCTGCTAGAAACTTACTGGGACAGAATGAACCTCAAAGTTCCCATCTATTTCTCTCTGGGGTTAACAGAAAAGGTGAGTTAATCTCTCTCTCTCTCTCTCTCTCTCTCTCTCTCTCTCTTTTAGCTACTTAGTAAATCTTGCCAAAAAAAGTCAAGTTAAACTTTGTATTAAAACACTGACTGCTACTGTACATTTTTTCGCACTTTGTCACTTGTAAATTAGGTCGTATCTGATTTAGGAAAATGAGTGAGTATTGCTTTAGAGTTGTAAATTAGCTACTTGAGTGTATTATATTCACCTTTTATAGACAAAAGCATTTTATTGATTGATTTGGTTCATATTTCATGCCATTATTGTAACCTTTCATTTCAGGCAAATCATTATTACAAACTCTTTATCACATGGACCAATCAGAAGATCAGGAAAACTTTTGTGCAGAGAAATATGTTTGAGTTTAAGCATATAAAGGTACTGAATGACATAGCATTGCTAACAAAAAGTTCATTAATCTAGAAAAACACAAAAAGAATATGTTCCTTGGATGTACATAATACTCATTGCTCGACTTTCTAGATAAAATTTTAATTTGACAAATAACTAAATAATTTTAATTAAATTTGAGCTAAATCAGAGATAAATTAGTTTAAAAACTGTTAAATATTTTATCATTGTCCTTACATAATTAAAATATGCTTCACATTTACTCATAGTTAACTATAATGCTGCAGTAACCTCAAACTGAAGAATTTCCATTCCTTCTTGCTCTATTCCAGGCCTTTGACAGGTCTTATATTGATAACCCGGGGGCCATGGTGGTGTTTGCCACCCCAGGGATGCTCCACGCTGGCCTCTCGCTGCAAATCTTCAAGAAATGGTGCACCAGCGAAAATAACATGGTGAGTGCAATTTGATTTATGAAAAGTGTCCACCTGAAGAGGAAGCTTAATTCTAATTGCTCACATACAAATATTGAGGCCATTTTCTTTCTCTTGTGAATCTGACTATGATTTCATAAAAGATTTGATTGTGCTGCCATTGCAGTTGTGTTGTGTAAATTCCAACTCATGCTGCCCCCTACAGTTGTGTTCTGTGTATTCTGTCTTGTGCTGCCCCCTACAATTGTGTTGTGTGTCTTCCAGGTGATAATGCCAGGTTACTGTGTGGCAGGGACAGTGGGTCACAAGATTCTGAATGGAGTGAGGAGGCTGGAACTAGAGAACAGGCAGACTGTAAGAACAGTAGTTACTTGTTATTAAAAAAAAGTAATAAATAAAACATGTTAGTTGTCTTCATGTTAGAAAGTACATTTTTCTCACAGACTAAATGAAATGGATTTCAAAGGATAAATTCATGGTATAAGTGAGTTGTTTGAAAATTTGAAGTAGTATGTCATACTTCTTTTTAATGGGGTGTCCCAGCCACGACATGTGAACAGCCCTATACGCCCCTGTAGACAAGCTGCAACCAGTCATGTTTGATAAAAATTTCAAAGCCTGGTAGAAAGTTGTGTACAGTTGATCCAGGTGGGGGCAACAACAATTTAAAGAGAAGTCATGTTTGGTTTATCGATTATGGAGGATATTTCCCAGGTATCTGTGATTTTTTTCTAATCAGGCCAGAAGTATAGTCAGGTACTATTGTAATTTAATGTTTCCTATCAGGTTGATGTCAAACTTTCGGTGCAGTACATGTCATTCAGTGCGCACGCTGACGCGAAGGGGATCATGCAGCTGATTCAGCAGTGCGAGCCCAAGAACGTGATGCTGGTGCACGGCGAGGCAGGCAAGATGGAGTTCTTGAAGAAGAAGATATTTCAGGAGTTTGGTGAGAAAATGGAATGAAAATAACCACTATTTGGAAAAAGTGATAAGATGAGATATTTCAGTTACAATTTTGCTGGGGTTTGATTTAGGACTAGAGTCAAATTTTTGATTAAGTTTCATTTGGTAATTTACTTTTGAATCAGTTTCTTAAAAGTTAATTTATAAAAAGAGATTACTTATAGAACTGTTGTTGACTGAGAATCAATAACATATGTAATTTTTGCATTTTTATTACAGTTAACTTATTTGAAAGTGACTTTAAAATAAAACAACATTACGACATTTCAATCAGATTGCTTTATTATGTAAATCGATTCCTGTCAACTAGCATGTAAAATATTGATGTGATAATTTTCAACCACTGCTATTTTGTCTGACCTGCTTTCTGATTGGTTACCACAGGGACAGAATGTACAATGCCAGCCAATGGGGAGACAGTTACCATAGCAACATCTGCAGACATTCCAGTAGAGGCCTCAGTCAATTTACTCAAAAGAGAAATGTCATCAGGGGCAGGTGAGGGGCGGAGTTTCAATTTCCGAAACGTCCCCAAATTCTTAAATAAAGGAGTTTAAAAGCAAAGTAATTTTAATTCTGCCAAGGATGTTTTCACTTCTGTAATTTAAAGGTTTTGATGACCTGTTGTATTTTTTTCACAGTTTAATTACTTGAAAATTAATGGGTTAGAGGGGGTTTTGGCATTTGCTAAGGTGGATCAGAAATAATCCCTTAAAACATGAAAATTTTTGGAAAATTATTTCAGAATGTTCGTCATACTTACTACAAGAGGAATTTACTGACATAATTTACAACAGTCAGTATTTAAGAAAAGTGTTTTTTTTTTTTTTTTTTTTTTTTTTTAATTTCAAACTTTCTCTGCAGGTCCAGACCCCAAGAAACCCAAACTGATGCATGCGGCCCTGGTGATGCAGGGGGCTGAGGTGAGTGGGTCATTAATATTTTTTATCAAATTTTATATTAAATGTTTTAATATATTGAATTTTTGATATTGAATCAATTTTTGGTGAAATAAAAAACAGTTTGGATTTTACTACTTACATGCAGTGATCAAATAATTGTAATGATGCTGCTAATTAAAATGATCGTAGGAATTACAATTATAATAATAATTATACTAATTATATTTAATTATCCAATGAAATATACACATAGAATGCACAGTAAATCAGTTCAGTTATGGATGTATGTATATTAACCAGCCACCTAGATGTCTGTATAACATTCTGTCAGTTCATCAATTATTATGTTCTCCAGAAGATGCAGTTGTTAGATGCAGACCAGGCAATGAATGAGTTAGGACTGGAGGAACACCAGCTGAGGTTTACTTCTACTGTGGTGATAGAATACCCTGGGGAGGTGGAACAGACAGTAGACAGGATATATCAATATGTGAAGGGGTATATATATTATTATTATTATTAATTATATAGCATTCTCTCTCTCTCTCTCTCTCTCTCTCTCTCTCTCTCTCTCTCTCTCTCTCTCTCTCTCTCTCTCTCTCTCTCTCATATCGTCTCTGTACATGAATACTCTCTCTCATTTCCCCTTCCTCTCTCAACTTAATAATTGGCTTCCCTCTACCAGGTCAGATATATCTCCTGATTATGTGCGCTTTTCAGTCCTGTGAGAATTTCTGACATCACCACCTAGCTGTCCTCTGGTAGAGAGGGAGACTTGGTACTCTGTTACTGGAAATTTTGCTAGGACTAAAGATTTGAATATATAGGAAACCTTTTGAAAATTAGAGAAACCTGAAGGAAACTGAAACTGAATTTCAAACGCATTTTTTGTCTGTAATTTTTTCCAGCAAATTAAAAGACTTCCCAGTCCAGATGTCAGCAGACCAGTCCATCACTGTGGCTGATTCCGTCCTGATTAAAGTCTCTGGTGATGATGACGAGGCAGAGAAAGGCGTTTTGGTCTCATGGTCCTATCAGGTGAGATGTGAATTGAATCAGACAGAATTAAAGTAAGAACGTACAGAGAGGAAATTTATCGTTGTCATTCTTCTGAACATGGTTTTAATCCTATAAAAGAAGTAGAAAAGAAGTGCCATCCTGGTAATTACGTGAAAAATAAAATACTGTATATTCTCTACTTTCTCTTTTTACTTGCTAATAGGATGAAGACATAGGAAGCTACCTCCTAAAATTACTAAAAATGGGAATTCCAAGCACATGAATGCCAGGGCATTGTTTGGTAGTGACAGAAGAATGACTTTGGACACCAGGTGGCAGAGATATTCATGACAGGCTGGTTCCTTGTAGTGCAAATAAAGTTGGTAAGCAGAGACACTGGTCAAGTAAAACCAGTCCCAGGAGTTTGTCAAGACGACAGATGCAAATAAACTGTTAGCATTACAGAACCAACTTTTCATTTGTTCCTGATGAATTAGGACAGTACTGTACAGAGACATTTTCCATGTAAAAGATGAACACTACAGAGGAGCAGCAACCATCATGTGAGCCATCTCCATGGTAACCACCATAACAACCAGCTCCATGGTAACCTACATGACAACCAGTGTGTGGGGAAGCAGATCACAGTGGTCAGACTTCAAATAAGCTTGTTGTGTGAGACGCCAACTACCCAGGAATTTCAGTAAATACAACAAGCTAAACTTCGTGACTTTGTATTAGAAGTTTTGAAGATCCCAAGTACCCTGAAGTGTCTGAAGTCTGTGCAGATTTACAGTTTTTATCAAATAGGCACCAAGGAGGTGGGTTATTCCCCCCTCCCCCTCCTTGATGAATGGCGTTGAAATTTGTTTCATTTATTTCAGAAGGACTGTATACAAAACAAAACGGCTGATTACTGCATTACTGGAATAAGTCGAATCTCTTGTTCTTTTTATCTTGAATGGAACAAGACATGCTCACTGGTTTCTACTCTCAAACAGAATGTGAAATAAAATGTGAAAGGCATTATTCATGAAATTTATTTCTTTGAAGTGTACATTGATGATATATATATCTTTGTAGTAATACTGAATAAATCTCAAATTATAGTCATATGTTTTGAAGATTCAGTATTACAATAGTAATACTAAGAATCTTAACTGATGATTATTCATATTGAAGGTACAGTATTTACAGTTCATTGTACAGTCCATTTCTTTCCTACACAAGTCATTCTGTACAAATTGTAAAATGCTAAAAATCAAACAAATATCGTTTTAGTTTTATGTCAAATTATTTCTATACATATACCAGCAAGTTAAATTTTAATAATGGAAAAATACAATACAATAAAACACTCCCTTTTTCTTTATATGTCCTCTTCAAGTCACTTCCTTGGCCTGCTGTCAGTATTGGCAAGTCTGCAAGGATATTTTCCAGGGCCTGCCTGCTGAAATCCTCTCAGAGCAACATAGATAGAATTCTAGATTTAACATGAAGTAAATTTCACTGCTCATTTTGATATTTAGCACCACACACTTCTTGGCTTGACTAGAGGTAGGAAAGTGAGTGAAATAGAAGTGTTTAAAACAAGTATAACTGAAAAATATAACATTTATTATGAGTTTAAACTTTGGGTTTTGATTTTACTAAAGTATTTTTGGTATTAGTATTATTATTATAAATAAACTATTATTATTATTAGTACAGTATTCAAATGCTGACCCGAAAGCCTCATACACACTCTACTATATTCTCATACAAATTATTCAATGTCTCTAATCATAGCAGTGACCAAAGGCTATCCTCACATCATTCTGCAAATTAACTGAAGATATAAATGCTGCAAAAATAATGCTGTTTTAAAGGTAGATGTCACAAAATCTTATTCACATGCTGTTTAAAGGTAGATGTCACAAAATCTTATTCACAGAGTATTTTTGTGCGTTCTCCATTATTAGTGCTGCTGCCATGTTAACAGTTGTGATGATTGTGTTTGCTGATCTCAGCTACCACACTGCCGTGGATGAATCAGATGTACAATTTGTCCATTGTGTTAGGTGCGATGACTGTAACTATTGTGTTGGTTGTGATGACGTGTTGCTGATCTCAACTACCACACTGCACATTTGTTCACTGGGTTCATCTTACTGCCAGGCTTACAGTTGTACGCGTTGGAGAAGTCCTCCGAATTGGACAGAGTACCAATTACTCTAAAAATAAATAAAAATATGAAAAATCAGTGCTGTTGTTATGAATGAAAAAAACAAAACAAAACAACAGAATTTGAGTCTAAGTTTGCTGCTAAATAGTAAATGTTTTGATTTATTTCATTTCTCCTACTGGCAATTCTTTCTTAAATCATATAGTATAAAAAATCTTTAAGGTACCATGCACATAGTTGTTTCTGAGATTATAGGTTAATAATAATAACAAAGAAAATAAATAACAAAGCACATATGATGAAGAAAATATAAAAACAATATTAAAAAAAAAATACAACAGTTATTTCTTCTTCTATTTAGTTTAATTATCTGTTTATTAATTTTGATGTTCCTCTTCAGGTAGTACCTGAACCTTCCAGGGCTGTGGACACCTGTTCTAATACGCAGTAGAGCTGACTGTTTTCTCATGGTACCACACCATATCTATAACAATATATTACCATGCAAGACACACGTCATGCTAGTATACAATAAAACATGCAACCTGAGCAGGCCTGTAGGCAGGAAGGGTGGGGGGNGTTATATGGGGGGGGGGGGAGAGAGAGGGNTCTGAAACATTTCTCATATTGGGTCAACTAAGAGGGTGAAAACTTTCCATTTTTGGAGAAGATTCCCCTGTTGAGATTAATGGCTACAGGCTTGCAAGTTCAGTTTAAAAAATATATATGTATATCATTCTCTGTGACAAAATTTAAACTACTCATCATGCTAAGAAAATGCAATGTTAATATGAAATTAACCCACAAGTAATGCTAACAACACACTGTAACAGTTAAAACACATTTCAGCACTGGAGGAAAAAAAAAGATAACACAAAGCTGGTTGCTATACAAATGACAATATGGATTATTAATAAATGTGATTCTAAATAAGAAATAATAAAAATGACTAAAAAGCATTTGCTAAGAAAGCATATATATCATTAACATTCAGCAATGCACAAGCAGTAACAGTAAAACTAAGACCCCATTCCCATAGACACCATTGGTCTACTTGAATCAACCCAGGGACTGCAGGGACTTAACTGAATGACAAGCCTCCACTTGTTTCCAGCATACTCATACAATCACCAGCTTTCTACTCAATACCAGGAGGAGGCATGTCATTCAGTTAAGCTGATTGCAGTCAGCGAGAGTCCCTGCAGAGTTGGGTTAATCCACATAGACAGACATGGTGCCCATGGCAAAGGGGCCAAAATCTGCCTAATCAAAGATTCAGCAAAATAACAGGCCAATATGCATTTCAATGCAAACCCAGACAACAGATGGCTCTGCCACCAAGACAATCTTTTAGTTACCTAAATCTGTTTATACTATGTGCTCCTGCCAATACTTTTTGGAAAAGTCTTTGATGTCGATCTGTCCCACACCACATCTGAATCAAATATAGGTAACTAGCAAGCCAAATCATCGCTATTGATAATTCTTCAAATCTAACAATTGATCCTTTACAATTAGCACATTCAAATCACAAAAATCACCTACATTCATGTTTGATATAAACATACTTGCTGCAAGTGTGTTGAATGGTTTTCTATCTATTCTCTTGCTTCTAAATTTTTGAAAATCATTGCATACTACTTGTTAATCCAAACATCTGATCATCAATTTCATTTAAAACTATTAACAAATCAATAAATCATACTGTCTTGATTTCAATTTTTCATAATTATTATACTAACTCAATTACAGAAAAATAAAATAAAATAAAATAAAATAAAAACACCCTTGCAATTGTCAAAGCATGTAAGCCATATTCCATAATTATCCATTGAATTTTCTCCTCAAATTTCTATTGTACTGATATTTTAATCATGTGCTTGAAAGCAAGAGATCACATATGCAAACATATAGTACATATCCAAGAATTTAGTATAAAATTGATACTGAGAAATGCTAGCCACAGCTGATTTTGGCAAGTCTTTGGGGAAAACATGGACTCCCTTTTTAATTCATTGTAATAAAAAGGAATATAGATAATACTAGTTTTAGGCATACAGTACATGGATGATTGCTAATTTCTCACATACAAAATTTCTCATTAGACCATTATGTTTATTTGTCATTACCTGAGCAAAATTGAGGAAGAAAAGTTGGTTGTGGTTAAGGCTTATCCCGGGTAGTTTGCTCTCCTCTTTTCCTTGCTTTGCTACCCACTTCCTGTACGCCTGGAAAATTCAGGAAAAGATCTTCATTTTATGTAAGATTTTAAGAAAAATTCGAGAAAAATGTTTCAGTCATGTATCAAATTGAATATGTTGGACTTTTCTAAGAATCAGGAACATTTGAAAACTCTTATTTTGTTTAAATCTTGTTTTCTTTAACAGTACATCAATATTTTAAACAATATCAATTCAACTTATTTCGTTACAAAATGTGTACAATTCAATCATGACTTAAATTTACAGCAACTAAATTTCTTGAAATTCTAACAATCCAAAATATTGAATTTTTCTTACCCTAAAAGCCTGTTTCAAGCCCCCGTTGTCAGCTATATTTTCTCCTTGGGTCTGGATCCCATTCAACTGAAACAGAGGAAAGCTGGATCAAATCTTTGTTAAACTCAACTTTTTTTGCATAAAATTTCCCTCATATTTGAAACGTCTGTTATTACAGTGTTCAGAGCCACATTAAAAATTATTACCCAGGGCCTCTATAAATCGTTACCAGTACCCAATATTTCTTCCATTCAGAAATAAAATAATGTCAAATATATTTGTCCACATTTATAATGTAAAAATTTTTTTCTTTTTTTCTGGCATTCAAAGGTCAAACAAAAAAGAATTAAATAATTCTTTAAAAATGATGAAAAAAGAGAAACCCTCACATTCATATTAACTTCCTTCACAGTATAGTTGCCATATTGCTGTATAATGCACAAAGTTTTCTTCTTGAAGTTGTCCACCACTGTCTGATCCCACCACTGCACCAGGTTACCATCCTTGTCAAACTGACGGCCTGGAAGATACCGTAGCAATTAAACAGACAGCAAACATGGCAGACATACAGTAAACAAATGCAAACCTTAAAGATGTACTGTCTTCTTCAGAAAATGTCCCAATTTTCTATGTTTATATATCCTGCAAAGCTACTTCTCTCTCCCAATTCAGAACTTAAGACCTAGAAGATTAGCAAAATGGACAGCTGAGTCTGAAATTCCACAGGAATGGAACAATCTTTTTTCTAATGGCTATATATATATGCAAAAGGTATATATTAAAAGTGCCTATTTTACTCACCTCTATCATCAAATCCATGTGTAATTTCATGACCAATCACCATCCCAATACCACCATAATTGAGTGATCTGTAAATAATAATAATAATAATAATAATAATAATAATAATAATAATAATAATAAACATTCTTGACATTTTTTCAAACAAAATAAGTTATCTCCTTTTTTAAGAGCCATTTTAAACTTCACCCACTTTCACATTTTCTTTTTAAAAAAATTCAGCAACTCAGATATAATGGTACATACTTAACAATATAATACCTGTACAATGTAGACTGCCAATTTTTGAAAACATTAATTAACAAATTTTGGTGTCTTCTGACCTGTGAAATAATTCACACTATCATGTGTTGACTTACGTACTTGGGAAATGTTTTGCTGTAAAATGGAGGCTGAAGGATTCCTGCGGGAAACACTGAAAGAAGACAAAAAATATTGAGTTAGAAAACGTCATTCCATACAGGCTTAATGTCCCCCCCCCCCCCATCCCATCCCATCCCAGGCACCCCTCGCCACAGATCTATATTCTCTTAAGAATAACACAAGGCAGTGACATCAGGTAAAGAATCAAGACATATTAAATTAATACTTGGTGGCGCTGTAGAAAGCACTAATCATGAGGGGTTAAATTAAACACTCTCTCTTTCCATATCCCAGCTGTTTCCATGGTTGAACATTCAATTGACCTGAGAGTAGCACAGGCCAGTCATATCAGCTTACAAGGGGAAATACTTACTAATTTGATTCTTGGTGGCGCTGTAGAAAGCATTGACCACTGGTGGGTATGTGGACCAGCTAGTCTTGTCCACCGGCTCCCGCAATTTCTTGAAGTTTTGGTGAGCAATATGGCGGATGTTGGCCAGGACGTTCTCAAAATACTTATCAGCTTGGTAATCAATCTGCGGTTGAAACATAATATATTTTATCATAATTTGGATTATTTTGATGAAAATTTAATAATAATAATTATAATATAGTCATGCTGATTATACTTTAATTTTTTTGATGGAATAAGAAATGTTATTTGAATTTGTGAACAAAATTATGGATTCTCAAGAAAAACTTACAGTTGTATACTCATCATCCAGTGCTGTGTTGTTTAAAATATATGCTGGAAAACCAATCTTTTCTTCCATGGCTGCTGCCTAAAATTGTAAATTTTAAAACAAAATTGTTTCTTTCAAATTCCAAATCCTTTAAATACCCTACAATTATAAGTTTTAAAACCAAAATGGTTGCTGATAAATTCCAAATTTACATGCTGCAAACTGTTTGTGTGTGTATGCATGTGAGAGAGAGAGAGAGACAGAGAGAGATTTTCTCAAGAAAAGAAAATGAATTTCCAGAAAACAGAAGATATTCCTGAATCACCTTCTCCCTGGCCACTTTTCTGGTTTCAGTGTCCATCCAATCATTTTCCATGAGGAGCTCATTGAACGCATCCCGGATGTTGGCTATCATGGCTAATGCCTGAATAATGAAATAATACCATGTATTTTTGAAAAAAAAAAACATACTGAGATGAAACAGATGACAGCACTAAAAAACCAACTGTACATGCTAGATTCATTTAAGTGTTCCTCTACACAAACAATGTTTTATAATTTGTTTGCTTATGCTCTCTTAAGATTCACTGTAAGAGTGTTCCTCCTCAAACAATGCTTTATAATACGTTTGCTTACGCTCTCTTTAGATTCACTGTTGAAGTGTTCCTCCACAAACAATGCTTTATAATACGTTTGCTTACGCTCTCTTTAGATTCACTGTTAAAGTGTTCCTCCACAAACAGCCTGCCCACCGCCATACCCATGTTGTCTGTGGCGTAACTAACACATTTCCTCCAGCGAGCCTGGTCAGTGTCTGTTCCATACAGGACCTGAGGTGACAAAGACAGGCAAAGCGATAACTATTATTCTTAATAATAATAATAATAATAATAATAATAATAATAATAATAATGATAACAGGGGCAGATTGAGGCCATCTTCTGGATCTTCTGGAAGATGGTCAGATTTTCAAGTTTACATTGATGGGTACATAATGTTTTTGACGGAAGACTGTCAAAAATTGAAGATGGATCAGCTAAGATAATTTGGAAGACTGTCAGAAAATATCTCTGGATCCACCCCTGTAATGAAGTGCCCCATGTAATGAAGATTTAAAAGGGATGGATTTTGTAAATTCTGACATGATGAGATCAGGTACGAAAGATATTAACAGTGCATGCCTTAATGCACGGCATAAAAACTCCCTGCACATGCAATGCTGCCATCTTTTGGGTAAAAATTGTAAATTATAAAAATTTTAAAACACATAAAAATGGCTTCTTTCAATTCCAAAATCATCTGCTGGCTATAAGAAATAATTACAGGAATATTCATAAAAATTTTGTGTTTCACGGAGATTTCTGTGTAATTACCTTGCTGTAAGCTTGATTCAAGCTCTGGAATCTCTTTGGCAAATTGCCAACTCTGTTCATCATTATGCGCCACACAAGGTAATTGGCAATGGTTCTGAAAATAATGAAAGAAAACACTGACTTTGTGATACCTTATTTTCTCAGAATCATTTTGTTGAAACATGCACCAGAATGTTATAAAAGAACTTTTCAGAGACCAATTACTAGTTGGTGAACAAAAAAATGAATATATGGAAAAAAGAGTACGTAAATGAACCCCTTTTTGAAAATAATCTCCTTTATATTGCTGGAGAGACCATGCAGCACTCTCACCTGTTAGAAGTCTCATGTAAAACGTCAACAAGTTTGCCAAAATACTCCGGAGCGTAGACCACCAGCTCCTCATCCTCCGTCAGTGTGATATTGACGCTTTGAAACAGGATATTCAGAAACTTCAGCCAATCAATCTGAAATGACAATAGTATAACTTTCAAAAACAAGAATATAAACCAAGTAATGCTTCCATTTCTGCCAATGGCAGGGTATAGCTCTCTACTTGTAAATCTATTATATAATGTAAAATTTTACCTTGTCAGTAATATTTGTATACAACTCCCTAATAGTAAATCTGTTGTACAATTTCTCATTGTCACGTCTGTCTTCCGGGGGAGTTGTACTCTGAAAGAAACAGAAAAAATACAATAAAGTCATTTTGCATTATGTCTTAAATTCACAGAACCCCTTTTAACCATATGAAACATATTCATTACATTTAATTTCATAATATTAATTTTCTTTCAAAACTTAAACAGATCCCCATTTTTCTCTAAATTATTCACACGTAAAATTAAAGAAAAGTATTTTTTCTGTTGTTTTTGTTCTCAGTGTTGTTAATTATCATCATCATCATTTAGTGAATAGGTTTAATCATCGTCAGAGCTCACCATTATCTTTTATGCAGTAATGTTAAAAACAACAGAAGTCTCTCAGAAATGACTTACTTATTAAGATTATATCATCATTGTTAGTACTATTATAATTATAAATACTGCCATCATCATCATCGTTCTACTTACATTGGCCAACTTGGTCTCAAACTCCACCATCTCCCTCATCTCTTCTCTCGCCACCGTCTCATTGGCTCCCATCAGTATCGCCAAGGAGACAGCAAAGTTCTCGTACGCCTCCACCTTCTCGTCACGCCCCTTCAGGAAGTAATCTCGACTAGGCATGCCCAGATCTACCTGATCTAACTGAATAATATAATATAATATAATATAATATAATATAATATAATATAATATAATATAATATAATATAATATAATATAATATAATAAAATGTGTAAGCATTATTAAGGTCTGTTGATGTTACTCAACTTTATGACTGGTTATGTAAAGGAACCAGCAATGAAAAGATTTGAGAAACTTAGGCTGGCCCAATCAAATATCCACTCTGAACCGATCTATGTAGATTCTATGTCATTTGTGTCAATTGAGGTGGTAAAAATTTCTAGATTTTCAAAAAAAAAAAAAAAAAAAAAAAGAAGACCCCCACCGACCCTGCCCACATCAAAATTGCTGGCTTCACACCATGAAAATTAAATAGAGCGTCTCTGATCAAAGCATGCTTTGTTTGATGATGACAATGATAATGACGATGAGCATTTAGAAGAATGGTTGATAATAACATACCTGAATGATATTCACACTCGAATTCTTGTCGTCAGAGCTCACCCACTCATCAATGAGGAGCTTATTGTTGTAGAGCCTCAGTTTGGCCACCAGCTCTATCCAATCAAAACTACTCTCCGACCAATTTGACGTCAAGACAGGCCAGCCACCAAGTGTTTCCAGGAAGTCAAAAACTGGCTTGGCTCCTCTGAGCTCTATCAAAGCTGTTATAAAAATAATGCAACAATTATCTTTTATTTATCTATTAAATGAATTATTGCATGATCACATAACAGATAATACAATTTGAAAAATTGCTTATAAGCCATATATAAATAGCTTTCTAAATGTTCAAAGTGATTGTGCTGTGATGTGCTCATTGTGGTAGTTGTGATTTTCCACTGTTCACAAAGTAAAAGTGTCCTCACTACATCAATTCTGTGTAAAGGCCCGTATATATGGTACTCACATTCATTCATACAAGATCTGTAAAGATTTCTGGTTTTTGTCACAGAGTTTGGCTGGTTTGGCATATCTGGTTTCTCTAATAGTGCTAAAAATAAGTATGAAAAACTCCAATCAAATACCTTAATGTTCTATTTTTTGCATGTAGCAGTAATATTTCTATGTACTTAACAGTGCATTTATCAATGAACTTCCTTTTATGACAGCAGAATTATCCACCTACTAAAACATAAACTAGCAGCAAAACAATTAATTAATTAGTCAATAAATAATTGAATAATCATATAAATGAATAATTATTCAATTATCATCATAATATAATTTGATTTAAAATGAATAAACAAAATACATAAATTTTAAAAATGCCCTTTAATTTACCCACTCTTTGCCCTCTCTTAATATTTATCATCATAATTATCAGGGTACTACCGATAACCTTTAAGATTTTAAAATCTCCACCCTTCACACACTCTAAGTTTTTATACTCCATCACCTTGAACTTCAAGGCAATGACACTAACACACTTCCATCCCACCTACATGCCCCAGTAACTGTCAATCACCCCTAAATTTCAGGGCAGTAATCTAATCATACCTCCACCCATCTACAGCCTTAGGAACTGACAATCACCTTAAGTATCAGGCCAGTAACCTACTCATATCTCCACCCGACTATGCTTGCTGTTACTGTCTATTACCTGGAACTGGAGGTCATGGACAGTAACACACTCACAGGGGTGGACGGAGGCCGTCTTTGTTTTCCAGAAGATGGTCAGAATATTTCAAGTTTTTATTGACAGGCAATCTGATCTTTTTGGTTGGAAGATGGTCAGAAATGGAGGATGGATCAACAAAGATAATATGGAAAACTGCCAGAAAATATCTCTAGATACGCCCTGGCCAGCACTTCTGCCCTGCCTTGAACTTCTAAGGTATTCCAATAACCTCCCAGCTTCTGTAGCACACCTGAAGCGTACATACCTTTTAATAACACCTGCAGCTCATCCCGCAGCTTGCCGAAGGTGTTATAACTTGACTTATCTTCGGGAATGATGTTTTTTCTGTTCCAGGCCCCACAGGCATATTCAAAGAAATCGTCACAGGGGTCTATGGTCTGGTCCATCCCATTTAATAGATTTGCAGCTGGAAGTAATTTTAATGACTGAATCAATGTAAATCATCAACTGGGCAATTATGATGACACCTTTGGTGCAGTGCAATCTTTTGATATGGTGGAAAATCTGTCCCAACCCCTTGTTGCAATTCTGGACTTTGTCAATGTTTCTTTATACTTTTTAATCACTGGAACCCTTTATATAATTATGTGAGCAACTAGAAATTAAGAGACTTGCTTTCCCTGGTGATGCTATCAAAATATTTCATATACAATTCTTAACAGGGGCAGAAGAGGGGTGTTTACGATTTTAAAACTCAAATCCAAGGGTTCTCTAATGGGGGAGGTTTAAAAAGAAAAGAACTGATTGAAGTGTTCAGATTTCACCTTAACTACTTTGAAAGGTTAAGTGCCAGAGGAAATTTCTATCAAACTCCTGCAAAGTAAGTGGACTGACTGCGGATTGTGAGTTAAAATACCACAACCTACATTTTTGAAAATACCTTTTTTCTGGGAGTACTGTTTCTGTAGGTTTCACCAAAAATGTGTAAATGTCAATCATGCAAAGAATTTACTTTTTTCGTGTCAAAATGCCAAGAATGCTTTCTACAATTAATTCTCAAAATAAATTTAATGGGTGTTACCCTTTTTTAAATTAAGGCGCATATTGGTAGATCCAGAGAAAAAGTTTAATGGCTGGTAAGAAGAAAAAAGTCAGTGCTTTATACGAAAGGGCGCAGAGAACAATGAACCCAACTAAAACAATAAATAAATGCTCAAATATTAAGCATTTAATGGAAGTTTCCACTGTTTATTACTTACAGTGTATAATACATGTAAGTATATCCTTATCCATTCCTTTTCTCTACAAGAATAAATACAGATTTCTAAGCTATTTGATAAGAATATAATCTTTGTCAATTAGTGCATCACTTCCCCCAGAATGCAAATACAATATATACACAACTTATACATAGGTCTGCTGAGACACTTGTGAAATGCAATACCTTCACCATTACACCATACATACTTGCAGAGAAATGTTGATAGTATTTCAGAGAGAGAGAGAGAGAGAGAGAGACAGTTTGCATGTGTGTGTATGTGTGTGTGTGTGTGTGTGTGTGTGTGTGTGTGTGTGTGTGTGTTTGAGAGAGAGAGAGAGAGAGAGAGAGAGAGAGAGAGAGAAAGGAGAGAGAGAGAGAGTTCAGTCACCTGTTCGTACACACTCAGGATCCAGGCAGACATCTTTCTCTGTGACAGGTGATGACTGTCCTGTAAAACACAAAATAAGATCTCAAAACTGATTTTCACAAAGGAGTAAATGAAAAATAAATCCTTTCATCTTAACGACATCTTATATTTTTTTAAATAATATATATAATTTACAGCACAAATTTAAGGTACATGTGCACCAACTGTTTAGACCACTCTCAATAGTTCTCCATCATAAAATTATACACTAGTAGGAACACACTTTGTACCAATCTTAACATCACAAAATTCTTAGTTAATCTGGAAAAATCATTTGAGTATTCACATACTGTATATGCATTCATGCACATTATCTTAAAAATAAAATCTTACCTAAAGGTGCTGGATTCACCACACCAGTCAAAAAAAGGACGAGAACGACAATACAACCGACTAAGAGTGCCATGCTCACTGCCAGAAGTATCCTCTCCTTGCGGGGGCCTTTCTTGTAAATGGTGCCCTCGTTACTGGAACACAGCCAAAAACCCACTTTAAGTCACGGTTCAGGTAGTGTTATGTGACATTCTGAATCCTACAGGTTCTGCTTGCTATTTCTACAGCATGTACTGTACATGTACATTCTTTTAAAACAGGAGCTGTACTGGTATTTGTTAATAGCACAAAAAATGTGTAATGCAATTTTAATGTATGAATTATTCCAGGTATTAATATATTAATTTATAATAATGATAAATAGTGAAATAGTGAATGAATACAAGAATTTAAAGAGAATCATTCTGTTACTTAAACACTATTTCTTTTAAATATAACAGCATATGTTTCCAGAATTAGACTACTTTTGGAACATTTTTCACAAAGTAAAGGTCAATTCAAGGTACTGGTTTGTCCATAAATAATTAAGAAAGTGCTGGAAGCAGTTTTATGCCTATTTCCTTCAATAAAAAATAATGAAATAAAATGAATGTTTTCGTGAAACTTAATCACTTTTATCTTAAATTCTATTTTATCAAATCAAATGCTAATTCCATATTGTTGCAACCTATCATTTTGCTCAAGATGCTTAATTGCTTAATTCTTCATACAATTGCCTGATCACAACTAACAAATCATACAGGTTTTTCAAAGCCTTATTTTCCTTAAAAATTCACCTTTTATTATAAATTCTAAACAAGTCTAGCACAAAATAAAACCAGAGTTTCAACAATGATTTCTACCTTTCATTTTCACATACATGTGTCAGTTTGAAAATAAAACATTTTAATGAAATTTTGGGATAAAAAGTAAAAACCTGGACTGTTTTACCATCGCCTCAGTGCCAACCTACCCTTCATTTATAGAGCAACAAAACATATGTGACAGAGGAAGATACAGAAAATAAAAAATTTCAGCAGGGATGCAAAATCAAATTTAACTTCATTTTCCAATTTTCCATTTTTATGCTAATCACTTCATCTTCAATGACATCGACAGTGACGTCTAAATTTTTATTTTTAATATCCGTAAGCTTTATTGACATCTGTTGAGTCATATACAGTAGTTTGGATTACTAACAATTCATGTCGGATGATGTATCCACTATGAACATGACAGTAGACTATGGTAAGATGTCAATTATGATAGTATCAATTACTTCAACCCTTTACGTCATTGCACTCCTACTCTACAAACATCATGCACACCAAGACTGTTTGCCTCCTATATGACCTTGAACAATGACCTTAGCCTTTGCATCATAAAAACAAACCTTTCCCACAATCAAAACAAACAAAGAACAAAACAAACAAGTCACACATCAGATCACAATCATAGATATGTACAAAACGTGCTCGTATCATGGAGCACGGAAGAGCTTTTAAAATCGAAATTGGGTAGCCAATGAGGAAATGCTCAAGATTTAACATTTTACACCTTCCCTAAATGTTTGGACTGAAGATAATTATAATAAAGTCATCGATACTCCTCACAATAACAGATGTGCATGCTTTTAGTTTCAATAAATGTCACTGCCTATGAACTGACAAAAGTAATAATAAGACTACTTGCTACTGTAGTGTTATATGTGTCCGCACCAAGTTTAAATAATTGGTTCCAAATAAAAAAATGTATGAAGACCCCTTTGAATTTTAGAAAATGTCTCAGAAAAATGTTAGCAAAAGCAACTATGATGGATGGATAAAAATATTTTTATAGTTATGCTTTAAGCAATTCTAAAATGTAACAAATAATTCCGTTGTTGTTGTTGTTGTTGTTGTTGTTTTTTTTTTTAAACACATATCTTATTGACAGAAAATATTGCATTTCAGAATTTAGTTTCTAAAGATATTTCTATACTAATGGAAACCAGACATCTTCTCCTCTCAACAATAAGAATCCCTTTAACTAGAGTGGCCTTTAACAAGAACTGACATAAATTGGTTTCAAGTTTCTTCTAGCGTCACACACCAATCAAAAAGCCATTCTGCCTTTCACCAAAAGGGCAAAAGTCAACAATTAAGGAAGTATTTATATGTAAGAGTACATTCCAGGTATATAATGTTAAAGAGCTATGGTTTTATAACTAACACAACTGCACTCAGTGCAACAGCACCACCGGGTATTTTTTACAGTTATTAGTTGATCGAAATGTAAAATTAGAAAGAGACATCTTTCTCTCCGTCCATCCATTAATTCTAAATATTTAACAACATAACCTGAAAACATGGCGATAAAAAATACAAATTTGTAGAGGTACCATAAGCAGCCTCATTCAAAGACCCATCACAGTCTCATCAGATGTTGTACAGAATTTAGTCAACGGATTTATTTATAAACAATCAGTTACCTGTAAGTACAGGTATGATTGGTATGAGTTCTTACTAGCAGTTTCTTCCATCAACAGTTTAAATCGGAGAAGGTGACAGGGAAATAGGAGAGCAAAAGCTCTACACTGCTTTAAAAAATTATTTTTTCTACTTATCACCTCAGTACATCTGTCAGTCCTTAACCCTGTATATCACAACATTGCGTTAGTTGTGACACAAATAATTGTGTTAGTTGTGACTCTGATAAGTTGTGACAACACAATCAACAGTGGCACAACCCAACATAATTACATGCAACTTATTGAATCTCAGGTTAGATTTTCACCACTAATTGTCCTTGGGAAAATAAAAATAATTTTTTGCGTGCACTCACAAATCATTGCTCAGGATATCCTTGCACTGAATAGGATTCGATGTTTTGTAACATTTTCATTAATAATGTAACTGGAAACGTATCATGATTCACATAGACTGCCATAGTCTTCCTGACATTTCAGCAGGAAACACTGTCATCAGATGCTTTTATTGGCATTTTGCTTTCTAATTGGGAAAAATAATTGGTACCTTTGCAGTACATTCAGACACAATTATGACTTTCAATTGGTATATTTTTTAAATGAACTGGAGTCACTAATTCAACCTTAACAATGCACTGGAGTATTTTATGAATTGTTATGTTGGGAAGAATTAAGAGCAGGACCCAGAAACATTTAACTTTTCACCTCATACCTAAATATTACCAATAGACATTACAGTTTATTTTTCTTAGAGATGAATTTTTCTTTTCTTTCTTATTTTTCTTAGTGATGAATCAACATGGACTATAGTAAACCATAATTATGTAATAAATTATACAATAACCCACGAGGGGTACCACCTACCCAAGGATCTCCACCTGGCTGGAGCTCGTTCCTAAATTCATGTCGTTAACGTAGGCTCCGTTGGACGGTACTCCATTCACGCTGCGCAGCGCTATTTGTCCTTTAGTCATGATGTTGTCTGAGCTGGAATGATAATAATTACATTTAACACACCATAAATGAAAATCAGTATTTCTTTTTGATTCATCAGTTACTAGTACACTGAAATACAAAAAGATACCAGGTGTGATATTTTGTCTAAGTGCTCTCATAGACTTCTGTGATCTCCAAACTGCAATTTTTTCCATTGCACTCATATATTCACCAGCTTTTCTGTATTCTACTCAATGACACTGTACTAGTTAATCTCTTAATCTGACTGCATTCAGCACGAGTCCTCACAGAGTTGGATGGATCTATCCCGTACGATAGCTTCATTGTGAATCGACCCTTAAACTTGTAAGCAGATTGGTCACTGGCATCTACTACTGGTAGTAAGGCTCAGGTGATCACAAGTTGTATCAATTTTTTTTTACCAGCAGCAAAATATTCCACAGATGGAAAAATGATCTAAAACAACTGTTCCCATAAGCGCAATCAAAGAAGTTATTTCGAAAAACCTTTTCTTTTCATAAGTGTGAAGCCAAATCTACAGGTCAGTTGCCTTGGAGCAGTTACTTACTTTGAAGTTGGCATCTTCAGGTATGTAAATATATATACACACACCACCACCTCACCAAGTGATACTAGTCCTTGTAAAACCCTGTCAATAAATCCATCATTTCATCCTCATACACTATTTTCACAACAAAAACAAGACTGCTGTATGTCTCTCCATGTCTTCCGTGCTAAATAAAGACTAAACTGATACTGATGCTGTAAACAACAGCTAGTGAACTCTAACTCCAGCCTGATCTTTTACAGCTCAATATGGGGGTCACAATGGTGACTTCACCAGGGCACTGCTGTTTTTATCTCCATTTGGCATGTTCACGAGCTTCCACATTTTCATTAACCTGGTCTAAAAATCAATGAAGACCAATCTTATCCTTGGGGTATTGGCCATTAAAAAGATATCCTCAACTTTCCTGAAAGGTATGGTCATATTTTGCTGGAAAAAAACTTGAAATTACGTTTCTCTTCAGTGGTTTTGTACACGTGTGTGTGCCGCTGTGCGTGTGTGTTTTAATTTTTTTGGGGTGGGTGGGTGGGTGGGGGGGGGGGGGTCAGAAAACCTGATCAAATATAATTTGTTTTATCATTCCTCAACCACCATAGAACACATTGTTAAGATATCTCAAATAATTTGTGAAACTGATGCCACTTATGATACTCCAAAAACAGTTATTAAAATAACAAAATTACCTTCTGGCCTTAAGTCAGGTGAGTGTTAAAATAAAACAAATATGTTCCTGCAACCTGAATACCCCACTAATGATTGACAGGCACCTCAAAGGGTCCATTCCCTATGAAACTACCGTTCTATGTAGAAGAACCACAATAAAAAAAAGTAAGACAGAAATGAAAAACAAAAGTATAGTTTACAAATATAAATAGCTATAGCGATAACCTCACTTACCAAGCCCCCTCTTCCTGAGGCCTCCATGACTTTGTAAACCAAATAAGACAATGGGAGACAAAACTGACAAAGGGAGCTAGCTGATGAATTAATGAACTTCCCACATGGGACTACTTAGTTAAGTGGAATAAAAGCTGTGAAGGTATTAGTAAACTGGATGGGGTTGATTGACTGACACGTTCTTAGACAGCTTGCTCAAATCAATTTTTTTAACACAAAGCCGTAAAATTCTACAAATGATTTAATATTATACTAAATAAAATATTGGCAGAATAAAAGGACTCTGACGCTTACTATGTTTGACTTAGCAATTCAAGATTTGACGTCAGCGAAGAGATGGGTTTCATACATTGTCAATATTTATTGGTAATTAAATTTCATAAATGACTTATAAAGAATTCACTATGGATAAAAAATTCTTACAGCTCCACCAGTACACTGGATATAGTCCATGAATGATTCACTGTGAAGAAATCACAAACATGAAAAAAGTCACAGCTTGTTAATTCTTTTCATAACAAGTACTGCATTTAATATGTTGTAAAGAATACATGTAGTTAATGAAACTGTACATGGCCAATTAACATTTGACAATAGAAGGAGTGACTGTTTATAAGTCAAGCCAACAGTAATTGACAGTCTTGTGAAGTTTTTACTTTTGTTGAATAGTTAACTAAAATCATCTGTTAATTCTTTTTGTTAATGCAAATAAAATGTTTTTGTTTGAAAATTTTTAAATAAAAATACTTGATGTTTTCTGCTGACACCTAACTTTTTTCAAATAAATAAAAATGCAGGATTAAAAAAGGGAAAAAAAACTTTGTTTGAGTTTACTGAAGTCATACAAACTAATCCAACAGTGCATTTAAAAGCACTCAAAATAGAAACCTGGCAATATTTTGTTCAAAGATGGACAGCAAATGGACAATCAGATTATTTGAGTGGCCAGTATACTTTACAAACAAGTACAAAATAGACAGACTGACAGATGCTGGTATAAACATTTTGATTCCTGTCTGCTCTCTCCCTACTCTCTCAAAGGGTGGAAGGAGCTCTCTCCTTATCTTAACATTTTATGGAAACACAAAACAAATCTGAAACATCCCACAATAATAACAACCCTTCTGAACTGTTGTTTGGGTGGCAGCCTTAAGAGGCATACTGCCCATATAATTACTAATACACGTTTATCTAGGACTTCTTCATTTGCGGACAATCTCAAAACAAAATTTTCATTAATCTCTCAACAGTAATAGGTTATTAAGTTGCAGAGAAGACCCACACTAGTCATTTTTGTTTACAACTCTTGTCTTAAACATGAACAGTGTTTACGTCAAACTCCATATCTGGCATTAAGTGTATTTACAACTTTTGTCCGTGTTGTTGACAAACAAACGTACACACCACCACCAGACTCCAATCAACATGGGGTACTATGGCCCATAGATGCCTGCAATGCATGTACACGCTTTCTTACAAAATTTAATTGAGAAATTTGGCTTTTGATAGACCCTATAAATAACAAAACAGTGACATGTCCATTTCACCTTTAACAAGGCTCAAAATATACAAAACTGACACTGCACTGCCACATGCAAAATTTTGGCACAGGTCCCACACATAACAGTTTTAACAACAAGAGAAAATAAATGAAATTACAGCCATGTCCAAGTAATCCGAGAGTTGAACTCACAAAAGATCTACAGACTTCCTTTTTATTTATTTGAAGAATACTCACAGGATTCTTTGATTTAATTTTTTTCTCACGTATCTATCTATCTATTTCTATATTTATTAACATATCATAATAATGATTTTTATCTTAATTTTCATAAATAATTGCAGTCATTTTGTCTCTTGTGGAAATCAAAATTAACAGTGTTACTGTTTTCCCCCAAGTCCTCATAGACAATATTTTAATAATAAAATATCACAGTCAAGACATCAGGACGGCAAAACTAAAGAGATTATTTATCCAAAACTGATAACATTATGTCAAAGGGCTAAGGAATATGAAGAGCTAGTTATCAACATCCAACAATTATTGTGTCCTTGAAATCATAGTGCACAGTGCAATCAGTCGCCTTATTGTATGCCAAACACCCCTTTACAGCATGATTATTCTACTACTAAACTATCAAATAATGTCACATTGATTTAAGAGGGAGCCAGCTATTTTGTCTCATTAAATATTGAGTAAAAGAACATGGACGAGGCACATGTAGAGAAGCGTCACTTTGCTTTTAAACCAAAGTAAGAGAGCAAGAGCACCTGCTGCTTGTGGCTTTTTAACAATTAGACTTTTACTGGAGTGATTGTTGCCAGTGAATATTTTATTTTGTAACCCATTACACCCCACTAGCTGCATGTTGCTTTTAATTTATTAATTGTACTTGAAAAAATTGAACCAATCAGGACATGAAGCTTTTTACCTCAAATCTTAATTTAATTTTCAAACTTCATTTTTAAATTAATCAAAGAAATCAATATTGTAAGCTCAAAAATAAACTTTAAGGACTGCAAATTCTAAGAATTGTAATTGGACAGTAGGCATGCTTAGTCTAGTGATATAAAAAGTGAAGAAAAACTCTGGTATTAAACCATGTGCTAGTATTTGAATGATATTTTGTTCGTATCTGCAGAGAGGAATGATCAATATTCTCAATACATTTGTAGGGATTCCAGGAAATTTAGAAAATTTCATTAATCTGAAACTGTTCGCTGCCCTTTTCCAGGTTACATACTGTTTTTTCACAACATTAGAGCTTTTGGGATTTCTACTTTTAAATAATTCCATCCAAAATATTGAGTCCAGGAAATAATTTTATTAGCTATCTTTTACATTCAAAGTGGTGAACAGCTGAATATTAGATACAGGTGCCCTAAAAATTTATTGGTAGACATTGAAATACAGGTACAGGAGCGGTACATCACATATGTAATAACTTCAAGCTGTTGTCCGAATAAAACTGAAAGATTTGTTTTCACCTTAGGTATACTTTTATTAGACAATCAATTTTACACACAGCTTGATGCTTCATCTTCAAATATTTACATGCACTACAAAAACATAACCACAACCAAATTTCAAAGGTTTACCATCACAGTATCCTGTTTTCTAGGTGTTTTATCACACAGGTGCAAAGTCACAACATGATCAAGATCTACAGATGGTGAATGAAAACATAGATCGAGTATGACTGTGTTCACAATCAGTTGATTTGTGGACTAACTAGTCCCTGGATCAAATGTGGTGCAACCCGCTTGAAAGCGTGCTGAGATTTAAGTCCCCTAGCTGGCCCTGCTGGAATGACACGTGGGGGAGGTGGGGAATCCACTGTCAAGCGTGCACCATATTTGATCCATAGAGTTAGTCCATGGATCAACTGGTTGTGAAAGCGGCCTTCACTAGCTTTCACCATTAAGTCTCTGTGTCAAGCATAATTTTTTTTCATTATCTAACAACATGTACCTACTTCATCAGGTGTTGTACACATGACCCAAGAAAGTCAAGGATAACAGTACAAATATCTCACAGAATGTCAACACTTTTTATAGTTTTATC